CGTTGATTTAATTTTAAGATAATTACTTGAAGAATCTCACCATGTCATCAATACAGCACTTTAATCATGCTGATTTAAAACATATGCATGATTTACAACATATGCATGATATGGATTGAATTACATACAAGAGTGCAATATATTGTTTCGGTATATTATGTTTGCACGTATTCACTATTTTGTTGTTTCCAACTTTTAATTTTATAGAATCAGCTCTGGTGCTTGATTTGCGAATGGTGTGGAGGTGTTTGTTTAAGCCATAATGTTCCGTGATGAAGTGCACTGAAGTTCTGTAATTTGGTCTGTTTTTGCTGAGTGCAGTAGTGTTAAGAGTTTTGGCGATGTTGACGTGTTTGCGGCCGAGTGTCAGTTTGGTGTGTCTGGGACCATCTGACCATCAGTTAAACCGTGTCACAATATGTTGCAGCTTGTATTTCCATTTATTATTGTTTTGTTAACATCAACATTGTATTCTTTCTTTTTTATCTAATCTTACTTTTTTATTTCATCTTACTGTCCTTTTAAAACAGTTCAGGTGGTCTAAATAGTTTATTATAATCCAAAGAAAATTTCCATTATTAGATTGTTTACTTCGACCAGATACAATCAAAAATTACTGTTAATGCTTTAATGTTATCCAAGATTATGCTGAAAAACAATAATTATTACTCATCAACACCACAAAATCATATTTTTATAGGAGAGTTCGACTATTGTTATGACAAAGAATGAAACGCAGTATGAAAAATATCTACGGAATGGAAAGGATATATTTGATACGTACTGCACAGCCGAAGACAAACAGCCCTTATTGTTTCCCAGAGCACCTCAACATAAGTATATAGACCTATACCCAGACCAAGATCTGCCCGGGACCGGCAGTTTTGAGAACGACCGTAACCAGCAACGTAACTATGAGGCTGAGGTAAAAGTGTACAGGGCTTTGGAGAAACTGGACAAAAACATTATCGTATTAAGTAATTTTGAATATAGTCATTTCCAATACCATCTGGGTGATTTAAGTCATGACAAAAGAAAGTGTCAAAAGTGTAAGAAGATGGCAGCTAACAGAGAAGGCGAGTGCGACTTTGTTGTGATAGCTCCAAACTGCTTTGTCGTCATCGAGGTCAAGAACATGAGCCATATTGATCCTGACATCACTGACAAAGATAAGCAGTTTCAAGCTGAAGCACTGACCAACACATTCAAGAAATCACTCCAACAAAGAAAGAAAATGGCAGAACTGATAAAAAGATTCAGTAAACGCCTAACAGTTCTTCACTTCACTGCTTACCCTAATCTTGAAAAAACGTTCAAGAACGATTTCCAAATAAGTGGAAATAATAAATCCACGATCATTTTCAAAGAAGATATTGATGACTTCAGTAAATGGTGGGAAGATAATGTAAGTGATCTAGTCATGAATTTGAGTCCAGAGTTCCGCACCAAGCAAGAAGAAGTTAGAAACTTATTTCTCGCTATGTGGTGCACCGAGAAAAAGAAAGCTTGTGATAAATCGAAGTGCAGTTTGGGTAGATGCATCTTGCACATTGACGAGCAATTGCGATCAGGAAGATTCACCTTCAGGACGAACAACCCTGAAGTTGTCCCAACACCGCCGCTTTACAGAAACTTCTTGGGAGTTGACAACTTGGATATGAAACAATATGATTTGATTAATTCTACTGAGACTTTTCAGTGCATCAACGGCCCTGCCGGAACAGGCAAAACTGTTGTATTGATGGCAAAGATACTACAACTAGTATTGTCGGATGGAAACAACAAAGCTGTCCTGTTCAACTTTACAAAACTGATTGAAGATGTTGAACCCTCAAGACGCCAGGAAAAGACGCTCGAGAAGGCGGGTGTAAAGCATATATTCATATGTGCCACTGACCCGAATACCTTATTTACACGGTCACGACCTCATGTCCTGGAAATTCACGCTAGAGCGGAAGAACTTAATGAGGAGGAGTGGGAAAAAAGCTTGGATAATGCACCGTCGGAACTTTATTGTGAGGTATTAAAAAATCTCGTGGATCATCAAGTGGTTATAGTTGTGCTTCCATATAGTGAAAAGCATCTCGATGCTTTTGACCAAGGATGTTCCTCTGCTGAGTTGTTGCAAAAACTGTTGACTTCATTACAAGGAATCAAAATATTTATCGACGATTTTCAAGTGGTGATGAATTGGGATGGAGTGGAAGGATGTAAAGAGAAAGGATACGTATTCATTGAATCACTCTTTGAACTGTCAAAGACTCAGCATGTCTGGGTAGCGTGTGATATGGTCCAATGTAACTACAATGCCAGTAAAGAAAGCACTCACGATGGAGATAGCATAATAGCAATATTATTTAACGAAAGAATGTCTTCCCAGCATCTTACAACCATGTCGAAAACCTTGAGAAATACGTATGATTTATCGGGCACTTTGACAGTAATTCGTGAACATATAGTTGGACTGATGAACACCAAAACAAAGTATGTGAATAATGTTTTCCCTTCGCACTCCCCCGGTCATTACATACATGGACCTAAAGCAGTCATACATTTTTTAGAAACCGGTCACGACAAGCTGATGTCAGACATTGTCGCTAAGGAATTGGATAAACTATGCGGTGATAATATACTAGATAGAAATGTCGTGGGAGTTGTTCGTAATGAATATATTAATTTCACTGCAGAACTCACCAATGATATGTTACAATCAAGAGACATTGAATCTAAGGAATTGAAGTCATCGTATTCTGCAGAGTGGCCAGCAGTTATTGCACTCCTTACTTGGGGGATGAGCACTATATTTGGTGAATCAGGGGAAGATAATGTGGGCAGAGAGCACTCTGAAGATTTAGAGAATTTATACTTTGCAATATCAAGAGCAAGAGTAAAGTGTACAGTAATTATGTATCCTTTTAGTGCTGCAACAGACATTAGACTTTGTCGTCACTTGACGACTTTATTGAAGAAGCTTGAAGACTGTGCTGATATTAGGAGATACAGAAATGATAAGCCAAAGGGAAAAGAAAAGGGGTAAAAAAGGAAAAAGGGTAAAAAAGAAAGGGAAAAAAGTAAAGAAAAGGGAAGTTTACGATCATAATATTATGTAAAATTTGACTTTATTTTGTTTCGAATTAGGAAAATTGCCCTATTCAGTAAAATCGTTAGATAACCAATGTGGGAATCATTATGTACGTAACAAAAAAAAAGAACATTTTTCTCGATCCATGACTCAAAGTGCCGAAGGCACAAAAGAGTCAAGGACAAGGGTTAGCGAACGAGGTTTTTTTTTGTATTATATGGTAGCTTGCGACCGTGCGAGCGTGCGAGCGTACATACGTGCCCTCGCGCACTGTTATCGCCCACGTGACTACCTGCGCAAAGTTATTTTGCGTAATAATCTGAATTAAATAATTGTTGGCGCTGAACTGACTAAGTACATTATTAATTTCACATGTGTACATATCCCACTAGGCACTAATTGATAGCGGCAACTTGGTCGTTTAACTCCGGACAGTCTATGCAACGTCTATGCAACGTCCATGCAACAACAAAAGAACCGTCTATGCAACGTCTATGCAACGTCCCTGCACAATGAACACTCTATGCACACTCCCTGCACGGTCAGTCTATGCAACGTCTATGCAACGTCTATGCAACGTCTATGCAACGTCCCTGCACAGTACCATATGAACACCGGCTACTAGCCGGCTAGTAGCCACTTTTGTAATAACAGCTCCTCAACTTCACATTACCAACCGGCTACTAACCGGCACTTGAAAAGTGGTCACTAGCCGGCTACTAACCGGCTACTAGCCGGCTAGTGACCACAAAGTGGCTACTAACCGGCTACTAAGCGGTCACTAGCCGGCTATTAGCCGAGCTCTAAAGCAGACCTACTAGTAGCCGGTTCCAAACCGGCTACTAGCCGGCACTTAGAAAGCGGTCACTAGCCGGCTACTAACCGGCTACTAACCGGCTAGTAACCACCAAGTGGCTACTAATAGGTCTGCTTTAGAGCCGGCTAGTGACCGGTTAGTAGCCGGTTAGTAGCCACTTGGTGGTTACTAGCCGGTTACTAGCCGGTTAGTAGCCGGCTAGTGACCGCTTTTCAAGTGCCGGCTAGTAGCCGGTTTAGAACCGGCTACTAATAGGTCTGCTTTAGAGCTCGGCTAATAGCCGGCTAGTGACCGCTTAGTAGCCGGTTAGTAGCCACTTTGTGGTCACTAGCCGGCTAGTAGCCGGTTAGTAGCCGGCTAGTGACCACTTTTCAAGTGCCGGTTAGTAGCCGGTTGGTAATGTGAAGTTGAGGAGCTGTTATTACAAAAGTGGCTACTAGCCGGCTAATAGCCGGCTAGTAGCCGGTGTTCATATGGTACTGTGCAGGGACGTTGCATAGACGTTGCATAGACGTTGCATAGACGTTGCATAGACTGACCGTGCAGGGAGTGTGCATAGAGTGTTCATTGTGCAGGGACGTTGCATAGACGTTGCATAGACGGTTCTTTTGTTGTTGCACGGACGTTGCATAGACGTTGCATAGACTGTCCGGAGCTAAACGACCAACTTCCCTTGATAGCGTTATTATTATTTTGAGTTACTATTACTATTTTGCACAGATCCGTGTCGGGTGTCAGGTTGCATAAACAATAAGCAGATGGTTACATAGAAATATACACGATTTTAAAATTCAATATGGAATTATATTAACTTGGTGGCGCTCCGCGCTCGGCCTGTCACTCCGCCATATCTGCATGCTTATAAACAGTAAAAACTGGGGTCCCCAGGTTGTATGGAATATGATAAAATACGCCATCACGGATCGGGAAATTGAGCGGCCATCCACACAAAAAAGCGGCCGCATTTCTTGTTGTCTTTAATATTAATGGATATTACAGATTTGGCAATTATTTGGAGTTTTTTTAGTATCAGTAAAATTTCAAATTCTTCAAGTCTAAAAGTATACGCAACTGATCCACTGGTGTTTCAAATTGACTTACTTTTTGAGGAAGAACCACCAGAATAGGTCGTGAAGAATGTCTTGACTTTCTTCAGAAAAGAAGAAATCCTTCCACTCCCTCATCAGGCCCGGCTGTAATATCAAAAGTAAAAACAGCAGTTTAGGAAGCAGTTAAAGTGCTAAAAGATGAATCTCAGAGATCACTAAAGTCTCGTTAGCTGGGGGGTGATCACTCAATCATTAACATTAAACCTCATTCCACCACTTCTACAGATATTTTCGGAAATTCCTTCGTGTAACTGTAAATGAGTATTCATTAGCACATACCTTCTCAGTGATTCTGATGGAGGATGTTACAATTCTCATAATGGACTGAGTCTCTACTTTCTGGGGCAGATCACAGGGGGTGTCAAAGAAACCCGGGTATTCTTCCATCTCCACAAATATCAGCTTCTTTAGTCCTGTGTCCTGTGGAGTGAACATATTGGGGGGGAGGAGGGGGGAGGATTTAGTCCTGTGTCCTGCGGAGTGAACATATTTGGAGGGGGGGAGGGGGGGGAGGATTTAGTCCTGTGTCCTGCGGAGTGAACATATTTGGGAGGGGGGGAGGAGGGGGGAGGGTTTAGTCCTGTGTCCTGCGGAGTGAACATATTTGGGGGGGGAGGGGGGAGGATTTAGTCCTGTGTCCTGCGGAGTGAACATATTTGGGGGGGGAGGAGGGGGAAGGATTTAGTCCTGTGTCCTGCGGAGTGAACATATTTGGGGGGGGGGGGGAGGGGGGGAGGGGGGAGAGGGGGGAGGATTTAGTCCTGTGTCCTGCGGAGTGAACATACTAACATATTGGGGGGGCCGGGGGGGTAGGAGGGGGAGGATTTAGTCCTGTGTCCTGCGGAGTGAACATATTTGGGGAGGGGGGAGGAGGGGGGAGGATTTAGTCCTGTGTCCTGCGGAGTGAACATATTGGGCGGGGGGGGAGGGGGAGGATTTAGTCCTGTTTCCTGCGGAGTGAACATGCTAACATATTGGGGGGGGGAGGAGGGGGGAGGATTTAGTCCTGTGTTCTGCGGAGTGAACATGCTAACATATTGGGGGGGGGAGGAGGGGGGAGGATTTAGTCCTGTGTTCTGCGGAGTGAACATATTTGGGGAAGGGGAGGAGGGGGGAGGATTTAGTCCTGTGTCCTGCGGAGTGAACATGCTAACATATTGGGGGGGGAGGAGGGGGGAGGATTTAGTCCTGTGTCCTGCGGAGTGAACATATTTGGGGGGGGGAGGGGGTAGAGGGGGGAGGATTTAGTCCTGTGTCCTGCGGAGTGAACATACTAACATATTGGGGGGGCCGGGGGGGCCGGGGGGGGAGGAGGGGGAGGATTTAGTCCTGTGTCCTGCGGAGTGAACATATTTGGGGAGGGGGGAGGAGGGGGGAGGATTTAGTCCTGTGTCCTGCGGAGTGAACATATTGGGCGGGGGGGGGGGGGGAGGATTTAGTCCTGTTTCCTGCGGAGTGAACATGCTAACATATTGGGGGGGGAGGAGGGGGGAGGATTTAGTCCTGTGTTCTGCGGAGTGAACATGCTAACATATTGGGGGGGGGAGGAGGGGGGAGGATTTAGTCCTGTGTTCTGCGGAGTGAACATATTTGGGGAAGGGGAGGAGGGGGGAGGATTTAGTCCTGTGTCCTGCGGAGTGAACATGCTAACATATTGGGGGGGGGGGGGGCGGTTTTTTAGTCTTGTGTTCATTGTTCGTAATTCTGCAATTACACCCTTAAAAAGGCTTCGCGGTTTCTCATTGTCTCAGTAATTCAGTAACTTTAGCCATGACATATTATGTAGTTTCATATTTTCATAATTTCTTAAACAGCATGAGCAATGAGCATGTTTATTAAACTTTTGATGAAGTAAATCCTGTTTCTTAGTACCACCAAAAGGAAAATAGCTTATTTAAACATTTAATAATACCGCCGTTCCTTTGCTAACCGGAAAATGTGTGATCTTCTTCAGTCATGATTTCCAGTGAAATACTCAAAAGTTAAATAATCGTTACGGTTATTAACCTGTTGTTGTTCCTCCTGCTCTATCTTAGATTTACTCCTAGTTTGCTGAGGTGCAAAGTCTAACTTTGGTTCCTTGTGTTGGTCTATCAACATTCTGCATACATCCCTCATGTTCCCAATCTGGTATTGAGCTGAAATTAATAATATTAGTGTAACTAATTTTCGTTTATTTGTTTGTATATGACACAAGAGAAACGCCATCTTAGGACGCGAGGAGAGTTAGGAGGACTCCTCGGACTACATATAATTCCGAACTACAATGTAATTCCTTCAGTAATTTTGTCTCCTTGTTTTAGCTGTTATTTGTAATTATACTGACAGTAAAATAATAACAATCAAAATATGGTACTTAAATTGGCCTCACACAATGTATCTTTTTGGTGTGCGAAATTTATCGTCAAAACCTCAAAAACGTTAACAATCTAGTTATTAGTGCATCTTATGTAGCCTCATATAAAAGCCTCAAGGCTTAACCCGATACACCACATACCTGTATTTTTCATGATTTCCAGAGCAACAACGAAACAAATCAGTTTTTGAGAATAACTATAAAAGTAAGCATTTTAGGACAGATATTACTATGTCTACCTATTGTCACGTGTTATTGAAGGTATTATCTATCAGCTCTAGAATGTGGCTGGGTTGGTGAGGAAATTGACATCCCAACAGTAAATAAAATTCCGACGTTGACTGTTTAAGTGTTTAGTTCTTTTTCAACCAACGGGTTTGCTAATACTAACAAACAAATTAAGTTTGTAAATACGAATCATGTTACGAAACATTTTGAAGTTGCCCTAAAAGCTAGACTATGAGACACTAAACAACGAGAGACAGTGCAGATTTAATAAACAAGTATGTACGAGATAGAAGACGCTGCAGTTAGAATGTATTAGGAACATGTGGTGGGTGTGCAGAGTGACAATAACGACTAGGAGCCAGGAGGAGGAGACTGCTCCATGTAGCATGATGGCTTATTGTCTCCTTCAGCTGAGTACCTATTCATAGAACAGGTACTCAGCTGAAGAAGTATTCAATAGTTGACCCCAAAGTCGATCAACTTGCATCTCACATGCACTTCTATTTAACCATTAGGTGAACCTAACAGATGAGCTCACGTGCACAGTTTAAAAGTATTTGCGCGCGGTTTTAGAACTGCATGCAATCGGGCCTGACCGATAATATATATAAGTTTCTTCTGTGCTATTGTTAATTGTTGTGCACTTATCAGAATTGCACTGCACTTTTGACGAAATGGTGTATCTGTTGTGCGTGTCATAAATCGTAATTAACTATTGTGATGTTTCTAGTTTACTGATGTTGCGAGTTTACTTTTACCTTCACTTCCAATTCTTTATTGGCCTGCAATTTATTGCAATTAAACCGCAATCTGATTAATCAGATGTACAATAAAATGTTATGCAATAAACAGTTGTTTGAGACGTGCAATTGTTTGACACCACGTGTTTTTCTCTCACTACTTATAATTATATTCCGTTGGTAAATATCCAAATCCGTCGAATATCTTGTATTTCCATTGGCGAAATACTAGGGAAAAGAAAACCTTAACTTGAAGTGAAAGTGAAAGTGAAAGCGAACGCTAAGAACTCACGTGTAGCCTTGGCGAGTTCCCTCTCTTCTGCCTCCTCCTTCTGTATCTTTGCTAATATGACATCCTCCCGATCATCATTAACCCATAATGGTGCTATCTTACGTTCTAGTAAGTTCCACACTGACGGCTTTACCACCTGCTTTTTAACCTCCATTAAGAGATCACGCGATTCACATTAACCAATCAGAGGGTTGGGGTTGTGGCACGTGGTTCAGGTTGACCAATTAGGCGGTTGCTGGGTTACGGGGGACTCCACGATATTGCTCGGTTGGGTCATAAAATCTCTATAATGGGGTAGAGTAGTTAGCGGTGATAATATTTTAAAACTTTGTTTAAAACTTGATTTCTACAAAAAGCCCTCTTTGAGAAAATTGAAATAATCTCAGCTCAGTAGTATATTGTTCAAGCAATAAATACTTACATGTTGCAGCTTTAATTATTCACTTAAATGCCATGAAATTTTCTCTGTCAGAGTTTCAAATATTTCGAGAACTTTTAAGCCGGATAATCTTGCAATCTTGTGATTTGTGTCGCGTCAGGCATTTCAGTCCGAACTCAAAGAATAAAATATCTATAAAAGTCCAATCTCTCATAAGCTCATTATAAAGATATCCGAGTATCTAAATGATTTAAAACAAGTTCTGTTGAAAACTTGATTATCCAAAGCAGTAGTCACTATAATATATTCGTTGTGGGCCGTTTTCCTGTCATTGATAGTATTACAGCGGATGTGTTCATTAGGGTCGTTTAAATTTCATCCTGCAACACAAATAGACTGCTTCAGCACTGTATTACACTTTCCTACTTCCTCCTTTCCTTAGTTTGTGTATGTTTACGTTACTTTTCCGCTACTCGTGCACTAAGATTCCTTTTGGTTTTCTACTGCTTGTTTAATCGTTTAATGTCAATTTTTTATGTTGTTTACAATCAGTTTATTTTTAAATTTATATAATTAATCAAGTATTTAGCGTTGCATGTAAAATAGTATTCAAATTGATAATTATACAATCAAACTTGAAACTGACTTCGTGACCCCCAGCCTATATCCTTGTTGTTGTTAACCTCTTAGGTTAATGCTTTACATTTAGCAGGTGATTTGAATAAACTTGTTGATGATACAGTTAAGTTTTACATTCTTTCAATAGTTCTACGATATAAGAATTGGTTTCATTTTGATCGATGTGACTGGCTATTGGTTCAAAACTTTTATCGCTTTTTAGTCACGCAGAATTCTGCATAACGGCTCAATTCTCATATTAATTAGGCAAAACCGAAGAACTCATATCATATAAGATATGTAAATTATAACAAATTGTCAATTGAATGATAATTACACAGCCGAGAAAGCATTACTGTATCACATACTGTAATGTATCGCAAAATTAAATACATAAACTGCCAAAATTATAGTTACGATTATATTTTCTAAGAGAAGAGTTCTTCTGTTAGTAGGATCACAAATCTAAACATTTGTATCGTTTTTTATCCAGAACTGAGCACTGAACATGAGCGGCGTAGCTATTCTGATATGATAAGTTTATTACTAGAATTGTATACCCACTTACCAGTTGCAACACTTAATTAAATAATTAACTGTTCAATAGGTATAGAATTAATAAATCACTTTCCATGACGACATTTATATATTCTTGTCTTGCAATTACTGGAATATGCGTGTTTGCTCGCAGTGTTGTTAGTTGTTCAAATGATTTTTGTTAAGTTTTTTGCTATTAATATTTTAATTTCTTTAGCGGAAAGTGATGTTGTTCTCAGTTCAGGTGAGTTAAGCATTACAGTCAGGTAGGTTCCTTTACAAATGAGACCTCACTTGACACTATCTATCATTTCTTCAACAAAGGCACTTGTCACTGGTGATTTGATAATAATTGAAGCTCTTTTACTTGGTGAAAACTATCAGTAACCAAATGTTTTAAAGAGGTTTAATTTGTAAGTAATTTTAAACATTTCAGCTGTTTTAAGTTATGCCCTGAATGGTACAGACATATTCCCGCCTTCAAATCTCCTGAATAGGAACACCTCTGACTTATCTTCTCTTCTTCTAAATAATGCCTTCTTCAATGGAAATGATACAGTTCGTTCCCACGGAAGAGGGACCAACAAGAGACCAGGGTTACCAGGGTTACCAGAGTTACCAGAGTTACAAGAGATAGTACCCTCTACAACCCGCCAGATAAACCCTGCATACCACACAGCTGGACCAGGACCCGCTTTTGACAATGATATGAGGGTTGCAGCGGAGGTAGTGCTCAGTAAGTGGGATGGAAGCGCTCACGGGGATGAGCTATGGTGGCAGGCTGAGTTTGGTGGAGTGGTCTATATCGCTACTGTGAGTTTTAATATTTGTGATACGGGTATTTGCCTCACAGAATGGCCAAAAAAAAGGAAGGTCTCTCAAAGTCACAAAACACACTTTATTCCAGTTGTTATCTCATAAGAAGCTAAGTTGACACTCATATTTTTCTTCCCGGGGGTTCATTTAATCTCATAACCATTTTTTCTTTGAGAAAAATTGGCCGGAAAATCTTCCTCCAAAAAAACATGCCTCACAGAATGGCCAAATCTGAATTTCTATAATTTTGTTGATGGAGATACTTTTTAAATTTCTATCACCACACGTTCTTAGAAAACCTATTAAGGAATGGGGTAATAACCTAAAACTCACGAAAAAACTGAGCTGTGAAAAATTATTTCACAAAAAAGAAAAAATGCCTGACAAAATGGCAAAAAAAAAAAGAAAACGAGAAAATTTTATTTTTCTAAAACCTTTGGCTCTTGTTTCAGGCATGCTGCTGGTATTAATATGCCTTGTTAACACCCCCATATAGGTGAAATTTCTTAGAACTGAATAAAAAGGGCATAATTTCCTACACCAAAAATGGCCATTTTGTGTGGCGTTGTTCATATTCCCTGATTTCATGATTTATAACCTTCATTCGGCTGTAAAAACACTCCATCTGGGGTGTTATTGTATGATAAATAGCTTGTGAATACTTTAGACTTATGGTTTCATTGAATAAAAGGAGTTTTAAATTTTGGCCATTTTGTGAGGCATATTTTGGCCATTTTGTGAGGCGTTTAGCCATTTTAACATTTTGTTTCTTCCTAAATTGAACAATGTTCGTTTTGTTTGATGAATACTATTCTTTAAACATCTTCTGTCATACTGGTGCCAGAAGTTCTCACCAAAATGCAAACTTAGTTCAAAAATTTGAAAACAAATTTTGTGAGGCATATTTTGGCCATTTTGTGAGGCGTGTAGCCATTTTAGCATTTTTTTCTTCCTATATTGAACAATGTTCGTTTTGTTTGATGAATACTATTCTTTGAACATCTTTTGTCATACTGGTGCCAGAAGTTCTCACCAAAATGTAAACTTAGTTCAAAAATTTGAAAACCAGTCTTTTATAAAAAATTAGTTACAAAAACATTTACAAATTTGGCCATTCTGTGAGGCTAGCCATTCTGTGAGGCATTTACCCGTACCGATCTTTTTTGCAAGAAAACCCTCTGTACTATGATTCGAAACTTCATTCAAATAAACAAATCAGAAAATGAATAAAAGATTTGACTACTTAACGCATGATATTGTTTAAATACTTGATAATTCTCACCTGAATATTCTATTTTTCCGATAACAAGGCCACTTTATCCTAATCAGTTGACCCTACATTCCTACTACTACACCAGCTGGTTCAACAAAACGTGGGGTTGTGTACAGAACAAGAAGACGTACAAGTTCTGTAAAGATGAGATGTCCTTTGTTGATGTGGATCTGTACCAAGGGTCAAGTTTTGTTAAGAGATGTGGTACACTCGTGCAAGGACATGGACTCAGACAGCAGGATCAGGTTTACAGGTATAGGACATTGGTTATAGATTGGAGTATGATTTTGTAAACATTTACTGATTTGGTTTTCTCCAACGCTAGCACACTAAGCGGGTTTATAAGATGCAAATGTTCCACGAGCGTTTTATTTTCATAGACCTGGTCAGTAAGGAAGTTTGTTTATGGGAGAGAGCTGTCAATAAACCTGTAGTATTATTTAATAAGCAATAAGCATTCAACTGTGACCATTTCAACTGTGACCATTTCCTCATTATCCCCCAGATTTACTTGCGATGGATATGGGGACAGGATATCTTTATCAAAGAAACACTCTAAAACCATGCTGCTGCTTCATGAGATAGTTATAACTGGAATTCAAGGTATTTGCTGAAGTCAGATTATTCTTACAAAAACTTTTTGGAACATTTTAAGCATTATGTTTAAACTGTGAAGCATGATACATTTAAAACTTTACAAAACCCACGAGTTTATGGTGGACTCGCGGTTTCAACTTTGTGTTGTCTGAGCGCATTTTTCTTCAGAGTAGGAGTGATAAAGTTCATGCAGTAAAATAATCAGATAATTTTTCTAGGGGGATACAAATATTTGCAGCGCCCAATAGAAATTCACACAGCATTTGAGAGATCCGGAGACCCGATGTTGATTATAGTGAAGCACAGGAAGCATTATGGAACGTTGTGTCAGGGAACTGTATCCTTTGAAAGCACATTCACGCAACATCATGATATCACAGACTACAAGAACAACAACAATAATAACGACAATAATAACGACAATAATAACGACAATAATAACGACAATAATAACGACAATAATAACGACAACAACAAAACAATATAGAACCAACAAATTGGAAGACATTTTGAGTTATATTCCACACTACCATTACTTCTGAAAGCCACAATCCGTAGCTCACATTTTTGAATATCACTCCAGAATCACCTTTAACTCTAATTGGCGCTGTCTTGGATCAGCCTAAAAGTACCGGTGGAAATAAGTCGGATGCTAAGGATTGCCTCTCCGGAGACAGTACATATGCCCAGCTTGCTGCAAGTCACAATTGGTTGACTGTTACACTCGAGAAGCAATCCAAGATTACCAAGGTAGGTTTTATAAAAATGGATTCTAATTTATGAAATACCATCTCGGCACTTGGAAAGTCTCGGATACTTATCCAGTATCCTATAAAGTCTATAAAGTCTATAAAGTCTATAATAAAGTCTATAAAGTCTATAAAGTCTATAAAGTCTATAAAGTCTATAAAGTCTATAAAGTCTATAAAGGGGCTCTGTTCTTAAAAGTATCTATCCCAGATAGAGCTGTATGCTCCAGATGATGAGAGCGAATTAACGACGATTAAAGATGCGGTTTTATATGTGGGACAGTCCTACTGTGGGGTTGCAGATGGAAAACTAGAAGACCAGTCCATGACACGCTATGTGATCCACTGCCGAACGGTAAGAGTAATGTGTTTAAAGTTTATTGTCAATAACAGCTGAGATGAGGGGCTCGCTGACGGTATTATATGTGACTGTTTGGTGCTACAAACTGACTGGTTAATAGATGTCAGGTGGTAGAACAATCATTACCTTCTAAATAGCAGATTATACTTCAAGAGACGATGATAAATTCACAAAATATTCGCATAATATTCAATATTCATGAATAATAGCCAATCTTCAAGTGTTAATTGTTAATACAACTGACAACTATTTTAAATTCTTTATTAAGAACGATAGTTTACTGGGACATGCAGTGAAAATACAATCATCCAGCAAGAACATGAAAGTGGCCAGAGTTTTGGTCTTTGGAATTGAAGAGGAGGGTTAGTTACCATGGTAACGTTACCTTGGTTACCGTAGTTACATTCTATTAACTTATTGTCAGAGGCTTACATCCATGATAACTTGATATTTTATTTATTAGCATTAATCTTCTTTTAATTCTGGGCCTCCTGAGTCCTGATATCCATATTGATATTTCAGTCGCCCCAACAATCCCTAATATGGAAGAAAGAGAGTTTATCCCAACCCAAGCACCTGTCCAAACCAAGACACCGTTTAGGGTCCCGGATATGGAACCTGAAATAGAGGAGCGAGCAGACGGTAAAACTTTATTATGCTATTGTTATGGTGTGCTCTTTTTCATAGTTCTTAGGATGATGCATATTGACTTTTCGTGGAAATTGAGCCCACTATTCACGTTCGTTTTTCAAGTCTCTAACCTGAAATATGTTCTGCAAACGCTAATAAACATTAAATTCAGGAGTTAAAATTGCAGTGGTCACAATCGAAGAGCCTATCCCCATTAAAGTTCTACAAGATATTGGGAATCTCCCAAATGCAACTAAAACTCCTCTTGGCTTCCTTGCCTTTGCTGGTGAGACTAATATCTGATTGACGATCGTAAATATGATCATAAATATTATCATTGCTTTGTAAAACTGGTTACTATGGTTACTGGTTATTGCTTTGTAAAACTCTTAATTAAGTTAAATACCGGGAACATCTAGAGAAAATAAAACCACGTAGTTTAAAATCATAAAATTCCAAAATAACTACAAAGAGAAGTGTACAAGTTTGCTCATAACATGTTATCGTCCAAAAGGTTATGTAGATAATACCATGGATGAGAAAGCCGGGGAGGCACCCTCAAGAGATAGAGAGAGAACAAAGAAAAGAGCAAAGTTTGATCAGAATGATTTAGAAAAAGCAACTCAATCATTTCTACGCTTCAATGGCCATGTTGAAGATGGTAGGTTATGAAACTGACGCCAGATTTACATTTGGTTACCGACTACCGTGTACTTAAATGTTAGCTCATGTACGTGATTTCGTCATCTCACATGATGACGTCATCTCACGTGATTGTATTTTATTAGGTGAAATTACGGAAGAGATGGTAGGGTTCATGCAAAAGGACAGGTGTGGGAATGCTGACCTGGTATTTGATGAGAACGGAGAAAAGTGTACAAATCAAACAAGCACTCTTATCATACCAGCCGAACAAAAGACATTAGTTGCGTTCATGATGCCAGGTAAACACAACTGATAACATTTCAGTGACTGGTTACTATGGTTACTATGGTTACTGGTCATGTATGACAGTGTTGTGTTTAGTTAGTTAGTTTCTATCTTCATTTCATTTCTAGGAGTGAACTGGTAACTTGGGAATCTCCCAAATTTCGAAATTTTGTGACACAGTTGATTAGAGAATTATCAAAACTATAGTGTATTGTGCGATATCGATTAATTGAATCCTTGGCTGACGAAGTTATTAGAATTATCTCATTCCAAAATAATAATGCTGATCTCCATAGGGGCAAAGGAGAGTGCTTCGTTAGTGGCTGAATCTGAATCTTACTATCTGGAAGTAGACATTAAGTTCAATGACGTTAGAAACGGAAGAAGCCGGTCAGTTTTCCTCGGTTTCAACTATGATACCAAAACTGCAAATGGAGACGACACTCCTCTAGAGATAGTTGCGTTGAGACTTATGAGTGGGAAACTATGTGCTCAGTTCCTTACTTTATTTTATGGTAAGTAATAAGTATACTTATCAATCTGCCTGGACTATTTTTAGGTTAGGTTTGGCCTTTGTGAGATATTGATTATCCTAATAAATTGTATTACTGTAGGCTAACTTCATTATAATATAATAATAATTTCACTTTTCAGGTCAATTCTTATCAAACTTGGTGTCCAAAGAGTCTGTGTTAGATTCATGTTATAGTCTGACTGAAAATGACCTTAAAACCCTTGCTTTCAAGGCCAGACTTGATGTTTATAAGCGCCTTGGAGGGATCCTGGGCAAGGTGCATGTTTCAATTAGAGGAAAAGAGGTGGCCAAAACTGTGTATAATACTCAACTGATATCATCGGTATGTCATGACGTCCGAACATAACAAACTCACGCACTTAGAAGTCGTTCGTACATATTATGTAATCACTGGAGGGGGTTTCTAGTGTACTTTTAACACAATAGCTATGTGTAAAACTAATTACGGAGGGGGGGGGGGGTTAAAATTTGGCCAAAAGTGATCACGTAATGTGTGAACGACCCCTTATTAAACGAACTCTTACAGACATAAAATTGTTTGGCAGTAAGTGCATGATGGAATCTATAAATAAATAGTCAGAAGAATCCTATTCAAAATAATACTTTTCAATCTCCTGTATTCTTATTTTGATGAATAATTATTAATTACACTAGGCTGCTGTGATAACACATGAAGGAGACCACGATATAATGCTGTCTCGTCTTTGCAAGAGATGGACATTATCTAGTGGCGCTACAAAACGTATCAAACCAACTCGCAGAAAAAGATTTTCACTCTCAAGTCACAAGTGGGGAATTGTTGAAAGCACTATGTCTATAAGATTCAACTTCCAGAACTTCAGGTAATTTAAATGTGAACAGTTATCTGGTTTATCACACCAATAGGAACGTTTGGCCATATTGATGTAATGACATTCACATGGACTAAACTTGTGTTAGAATTTGTTTGGACTGCAAAATAATTTTGCCGCCAAAATTGGTAAACGAAACTTCTGTTTCAGTTCCATTCTCAAGCAAGATGGGACACGGCAAGAGGTTCTCAAAGCATTGAATCTTTTCTCCAACACCGGTTTTAATTTTCAAGAAGTAGCACCCACAGCAAGTGCTGAGATAGTGTTCATGTTTATCAAAGGACTTCATGCTGACAGTAGAACCTACCACGGTGCAGGTGTAGAGAAGGCCCATGCCTATGCTCCAACCAACAGTGAAATACATTTCAATGATTTCCAGAAGTTCGGTATTAGTGAGCATGATCACGGAGGTAGAGCAGTAAGCATGTTTTATGTTGCTGCCCATGAAATAGGTGAGAATATTCTTATTTAGTAATTGTTTAACTTAAATAAGTTAGTGATAATTGGTTTTAACTTAGTGTCAAAAGAGTGACCATGTGATTTACTCGTTATTAATCTGTTTTAGAAAATAACGTATTATACAAACTCCAGGACATGCTCTAGGAATTCTCCACTCCCAGCAACAAGACGCACTTATGCAGCCAGGGTACCCTAAAAATGCGTTCCAGATCCAGAATATGCACAACGATGATACCATGGCAGTTCATACTTTGTACCCAGGTTAGCTTAAATTGTATATTCAAATGAGCATTTTCGATAAGTTATTTAAATAATGATAACAAGGAAAGTATTTAATTGCAATTTAAGGGGGCAGGGGGGGTCTTTATGAAATTTCTCTCGAAATTGATTTTATAGTTGTTTCTGATAGAGGGGAGTGATATCTATCTGCTGCTTTTGGTCCCATGGAAAAATATTGTTCCTAGCCGAATTTATTGCCGGTCAAAGGTCAGCGTTCATGAAAAATCGTCAAAAAACGAGGTCCAAGATTTTCAAAATCGAATAAAAAATTTTCTAAGGCCTATCTTAAAATTCTGATCGAATGGAATCTTCTAAATGGTCCTTAGAACATATCCTGAAAGTTTCAAGGTGATTGCTCAAAAAATGTAGGAGAAGATAGAATTTTAGACTCGATTTTCAGGGCACGCGATTGAAAATCGCTCGCGCAATACAATTACACATGAACGCTGACCTTTGACCGGCAATAAATTCGGCTAGAAACAATATTTTTCCATGGGACCAAAAGCAGCAGATAGATATCACTCCCCTCTATCAGAAACAACTATAAAATCAATTTCGAGAGAAATTTCATAAAGACCCCCCCCTGCCCCCTTAACTCTGATCGTTTCCCAACAGAATATGATATTACCACTAACTAACAACCACACACGCTATAGAGTTACCTCAGTCTGGTGTTGGAGCTGTAAACATGTTTCAAAGCACAGTAGTTAAAGGAATACAGTACACTCCCAGAACCACATTTCCAACAGAATGCCACTCTCAAATAGATGCTGCTGTACGCGTGGGAGGTAAGATACTTAGTTATTAGAATTAGAATTAAAATCAAATTTACACAGCAATACAATAAAAATAGTAAATAATTTAGAGATGCTTCAATCTGCTGTGCAGGACATTCAAATCAGTCGAGAACTGTTAATAGAGTGCCCTTCTAAGGTTTGATGACGTGTGGTATACGTCATGGATATTCATTATTTATGAAATACTGTGTTTATTGATCGTTCAGTTTCCACTACATTTAAGCTGCTGATTCTATTCTTAGACACATCAGCAAAATCCCTCAGATTTCGCATACATAGTATCCGGACCTTTTATCTGGAGAATGAGACAAGAATCAGAAGGATGGTACCCATTTGATGGGTATCCAAAAAGAGTGACAGATGTGTTTCATCAAGCTCACGGTACAATCGAGGCTCTCTTCATAGTACCCCACGAGTTGAAGATTACAGTGTTTGCACTGTATGCTGGTAACTTGATAGCTAGATACACGGTGGTACTGAAGGAGGGGACAAAAGAACCCTATGTTTTACTTACCTGGGCGGGCAAAGAAAGGAAGGAAATTTTGACAAAAAAAATTAAAAGAAAAACAACAACTGTTGACCAAATTATCAAAGGAGCATTCGCATACGGAGCTGACAAAACCATACTAGTAGCAGACAATCAACTGAGTTATTTTGAGGTTAGTTTTAATTGTTGGATCTAAGGGCCCTCGTTAAAATTGATAAATAATTATTTGAACAAGCAGGGGATATTTGGGTTTCAAAATTTAGAAAGAGAATTTCTAGAATGAGATTTTTGAAATCCATAAGCACTAAGCAGCTATACGCCAATACCATTTCTAACTTTGTAATAAGAATTATTAATAAGTTGTATAAATCAGTCTGTAAAACCAAATGCAATTTCAGTTATCATGGAAGTTCAATAAGGCAGGGACCCCTAATTTAAAAGAGATCACAGAGAATACTGACATGAACAGTTTAATCGGACGAAAGCTTAATAGAGAAGCCTTTAACGCTGCAATGACATTGAATAAGAGAGATACAGAGGAGATTTACATGTTTGAAGCCAGGGTATGTTCAACTTTGCTTGCAGAGATTTTCATAATAAAAGTTTCGTTCAGTATTTTCTGATAGTTTGAATGGCAAATAGGTACACTGCCGACCGGCTAATACATACGTCATGTTACATGGCGAGATCTCAATCCAAAAGGATTAGTCTGCATCAACTGTGTCATCAATTTGTATTATACAACTTCAGCGGGTAACATTTCTCCATCCCTTTCGATCTGCAGCTAATCTTCTCATACAATCAATCGTCAGTCCATTCCGATCCAATCTCTGCTCAGCATCCTCAATAAATACGTCATTTAAGCTCTTCCTATTATATATTTGAAAATCATATCTATTGCCCTATTGCTCAGCTAGGCCTTTTACCCGTTTTGCTGTTTTTGAAATTCAGGCTGTGGCCAAAGCGCATGCTAAATTTGAAAAACTCTAAGGACACGTTCAAAAAAAGGTGGCACTAGAGATTGAATTTTTAAAATGCGATTTAAAAATAGTCATTGCTCTTTGTTGGTTGATATATCTATCTATACCTTTAGAAATTCGATTAAATTTCATGATCCTGAAATCACGGAGTCTCTAGTGCTTATATCACAGGAGTTATCGTTATTTGTGTGCCAAGGATTCAAATATCACACAATTAGAAATGCAAGATGAATCAACACTAGATAATCTGAAAAGTACTATTCACAAAGACGCCAAAATTGATATGGTGACTATAATGCATGTAAGGAATGGAATGTCTTATCTGAAATTGTTATTGGTGCCAAAATGATTCAAAAATCACAACTTAAACGTTGGAAATGAGCCTATTTTGAGCAGTGATTATTGAATCATCTAACTTTTTTATTGGCTTTCTATCATTTTTTAGGGTACAAAATAGTATTAAATAGTATTAAAACCAGTTAATATGATTCAAAAATCACATTTTCGTTAAAGGTGCGCTATTAAGTCACACTATAGTAAGCCTTAAATTAAGTGCACGATATGACAATTTATATCCATTCTATGATTCTTATTATGTGATTTTTGAATCCATGTCTAAGCTTATACCATATTGAAGGCCTTTGGGCGATAATTTTTGATCTTGGTGCTTAAATGATTCAAAAATCACACAAATCTAGCTACCAAATATGTAATTTTCTTTAAAGTGTGACAATTTAATCATATGTAATGTTCAAGTTGTAATGACATTTTGAAAGTAAAGGTAATGAATCGATAATCACATTTCAAAAATTCAATTAAGTATTATATGTTACTGATATGATTTATTTGTCACATTATGGCGACAAAATTATCATGGCTTGAGCTGTAAAAGTACTTGCCTAGTTTACTCAGTTTAAAATCAGTGTTTTGTGATTATTGATTCCACTATTACTCTAATAACGAACTTCTCCATGACCATAAACAAGTGTCACAACAAATTACTGCAGATTTACTATGAATACCAACCTGATATAGAGCCAAAAAGTGATACATTCCCCTGATACAGCATAATTTCAATAAATGCTCATTTATGTGATTTTTGACTCATTATGGCACTTTTAACCATCTAAATTCTCTAAATATTAGTTAACATGCTATAATTGTGATCGATAGAGTTCATTATTACAATCATTCCGTTGATATTCATATCACATTTATCATTCTAAAATACTTAGTCAGAATTAACCCTGTGTGTGATAATTGCATCGTAACTCCACATTTAACCGGTGATTCTTTGCACTTTTAACACTCAACTATCTCAAAAAGGTTCAATAATCACATTGAGAAGCAGGACACACTCACAGAATGTAAATTCATCATTAGAGGTGCAAGAAATGAATATTTTGTGATTTCTGGCTCATATCTGCACAATTAACAGATATAAAGAGATGAATGACTTAATTATGTGATATTTGAATCTTTTTGGACCACATATTAAAATTTGGTTAACTTTCATAGCATACTCCTTGAGACGCAAGTATTTTAAAATGCTTCACACAATTTTGGCAGTGAAAAATCAATCTCTAGTGCCACCTTTTCATGAACGTGTCCCTAAGATTTCGGCCGCCTCATGAAGAAAGGGGGCCAATGTTTATTTATTTTGCGATTTTGACACCACAATTTTCGGTTGTATATCTCTCACAGTTTTTGCGGAAAGTCGTGTCAAAGTTGATCGTCTCGCTTTATATATAGTAAGATTTGCCGTTTGACTACATCATACCTAATATTATATGACTTTCCATCTGTGTTTCAGAACGTTTGGCAGGAGAAACCCTTCACAACGCCAGAAGGTCGTAACCGAAGATGGAAGGAAGTTCCAAACTGGTTCAAGATTGCTGGCTGGTGTCGTCGCAGAAACACATGATCCCAGTTGTAATGGAACTCTTGAACAATTTTAATTTAGCTCGAAGCTAATGTACTAATGTATAATGTACTAGTGTACAATACGATGACACTTGGGTAAAAAGGCCTCATTTAAAAATTTCTCTGTGAAATAATAAGCCTCTTGTTATAATCAAAAAGTATTATTTTTACTGCTTTTTAGTTCGCTCAAAAGACTTCAAACTCTCGGAAATCTGGACAGAATTCAAAAAGACTGTTTCAGGTCCAAGAATACTGACGGCTCACCTGGATTGTGTGGGTGTCGAGATACACCCACGAGATACACCCACTTATAAGAGGGGGAAAAATAATTAATTTCATTATTCTATAATCTCAGATCCATCATCATATCATATTAGTTGATGGCCCAACCTTTAATGATCACAGAGAGGCCAGATTTAAATTATGAATCGAGCGCTCATAGATGGGTTTGAAAACACCCGGAATCTCGGATATTACGTTTATTTTGCAAAAGGGGCCAGTGGCTCTTGTGAAAATTGTATTGTACGTCTAATTATTATTTGATGTAAAGTGGGTTTGAGAAACACCCACAATTGCTTTCACTTCCTGTTATCCTGTATTATAGTAGGATAATTCACGATACTTCCTACGAAGTTACAGCCTTCTCCCTTTAGGAGTCCTGTCCTATAATCGAATGATAATTCGGTGAAACTATCAATTTCGTGGGCCTAAGTCGGGACAAAATCACCACCGATTGTAAAGCTATATTGTGGTAAAGTCGCGAGAGGGCAAAAATGCCACCCACTGCTCCAAATACTGAGCAGATCCATTATTCTGTTAAGCACTTGGTGTGTACGTTGCGTTTATAATACGATGAACAATTTTCAAATTTCGTTTTTTCGACCGCAGACTTCCTTTTGGCTTTTAGTGTTATAAATAAACAATTTGAAATGTTCTGTTTAAAGTTCATGATGGACGATGGTGGATCAAATGCGTTGTTGGTTGTCAATATATTTCACCAGTCAGCCGAATTATCGCGTGTGTTATGACCTAGTCGACAGAAATTTGGTCACTTTTAGTAATATAAATCTTGACATAGTCAGTAGAAATAGTGCGGTTTTAATGCATCTAGAGCCATTTCAGGACGCCAAAATCGTCTGGTTTCCCCTCCAGCAGGGGCCGCTGGCCGTTGGGGGGCCTGCCCCTAAACCCCCTTGAGTCAGTCGAGGTGGGTTAAAACCCACCTTGCCTAATACACCCTACCCACGAGCCGCCTCTGCACCGCGAAACTTAACTTTGGGGTAACATGTCATTCAATAATGATATCAGAGCGTCATTGTAGCTCTTGGTAAACACTAATCCTGTCGAAAACTAATTATTTTATAACCAATAAGTCCACATATTACCTCACTAAAAACCATTGGTAATTCTGTCTGGAAAAGTTTCGTTAAATGAGCACGAGATTTAATTAGATTTACAGTGGGTGCTCTGGGACAAACTTAAAGGTAATTCTAAAATAAAATTACCGTAATTGTCCTAACAGGTATTAATGAAACAACCAGGAGGCCGACATTCTCGTACATTTTACACATATAGTCATTAGTCATTGTAACGTAGTGTGCGAAAAACAGTTCACGATTACAGAATGATCAAATTACCATATTTTGATCAAATTATCATATTTCCTTTTCGTGTAATTCCGTATTTCTAGCTTTGTTTATCACTTTCTCCCCCTCATGTTGCTTAGGTATTTGCACTTGATGCAGTTTATCTCTTTGTCGCTTAAACATCGATTTTTTTAAACAGCCGATTAATCAGTATGACGATCCATATCCAGGTAAACAAAAACGTGATTATTCTACAAATCGACCCCTTATTCTCATGAAAGGACTTTCTGATAAATTTCAAGGTGCGACACGACTTTTGATCCACTTGTTAGCCTGGATCTTGTTTAGTTGCTGTTTAACAGTAGCACCGCTCATAAACAGTTGGAATGTAGCCGTATCTTTTCCTTTCAAACCTGTGGAAGTGAGGATATTTCATATTATATGTTATTATGCTGTTTTCTGACATGTCCATATGAATCCAGATATACACGGATAAGACTAAGATGAGCTTCAAAGAAACACTCAAAACTATTTTAGTCGAACTTCAGATACCGTGAGAGAGATTATGACCGGCAGAGAATTACAGGAAGGTTTGAACAAATGAAATGATTATTTTCATGCGATGTTCCTTTAATTATATATAATTTATTCTATAGTACTGTTGAGCGTATGTATTCCGTAAAATCAGTAAAACAATTCTTCTCAGTAGAACCAATCCACCAGATACATCAACTGTAGCTCAGCAGCACGAAGGATAGCATACATTGAGCACCGGGAAGTAATGAACTGTAGAAGCAGTGATGGAACTGGGAAAGCATTAACTTGATGTTTTAGCGGGTGAACGTATCCTTTGAAAGCACACACATAATCATACTACAGACACTCTGACAAAGACAGCAATGTCTTCACTTATAATGGAGATCTCATCTGAGATAACATTAACCATGTACAATTTGAAAAACTACAGATTTGATGATTTTGGGAAAAAAATTTCAAATACAAAACTGATAGATCAAATAACCTTCTATTTACTAATCATGAATGCCTTGTAAACCACACTGCTCATCTAAGTAATCATCTTCACAGCTGCTGGAGCCTTGACTATAGTTACGGCAGAATTGAAGGACCCTTATAGAGGACCCAATGGAGAACCTTCACATGGAGGGAACTGTATTAATGATGATTCAACTTACGGTCAACTCGGTGGTAACAAAAACTGGTTGATTGTAACCCTTCAGGAGCAGGCTCAAATTACCAAGGTACAGAATTAAATTTACAGTTTTTTGGCTAGTTTACTAATATATGTTCCTTGTTATAAGACAAGGAACAAACTCTATAGAGACCTTCGTCCCCTTTAATAGCCTTCATGATAATATGTCTGTTCAGTTACTATACCAGTCGATCTGAAACTTTCTTTAGTTTCGAAGCTGAGATATTTTAAACGTACAATACGTACATATATATTAAATAATATAATATCATTAGTAAGGACGTTCAATACAATAAAGAATGCAATCAACATCAAATATTTGAGCACAAAAACTGTTGATAGTAAAAATCATTCATAAAATGAACTAAATTCCTTCTCAGGTAGAGATATATGCACCAGACTCTGAGACCCCTCAGACTGCTATAAAGAATGCCCGCATTTATGTAAAGGGATCAACAGGCAGAGTCTTTTGCGGAGTAGCAAATCTTCAGACCCAATCCGGAATCCTGTTCAACGGAGTGAATCGTATGCGCTACAAAGTTAACTGCCAAGGGTCTCCATCCGGGAATCAAATTCACATCCAATCATCCAGAAACAGCAATTATATGAAAGTAGCCAGAGTTGTGATTTTTGGGATTGACGGAGGTAATATTTTGTAAAATATTATAAATAAATCTATTAATTTAATATTGTTTTAATCTTTATACACTTCCAATCTAATATCAACGCAGCATGATATATATTTGTAGCCCCCCCCCCCCCCCCCGCCCCAGCCCCCAGCCCCTTCCACCACCAACCCCCTCCCCCCCCCCCCCCTCTTTGTAGTAATTCAACTTCCTGATTTCAAACGTTAGATGTAGCAAATATGATGAACAAAACATATTATATACCAATACACCACAGCTGCTGCTCCTGCACAAATATTCAATGAAGACAATGTAGGAGACCCTGCTGTACTTGAGAGAAGAGATGATGGTAAGGTGTTTCATAACTTAGTAGTAGGAACACAAAAGGGAATGTAAATTGATGAAATACTTTACCAATATTGTTGATTTATCAAGAGAGATACTGTTGACCACCCATTGATTGAACATTCAGGAGTAAAGGTGTGGAAACCAGAAATACAGGAGCCAGTCCCCTTCGAAGTGTTAGAAGAACTTGGCCAGAAAGAAAATGCAGTTGAGACTCCCATTGGTTATTTTGCTTATGCTGGTAAGGCTTAAATTGATTGCAACTTAAGTTTTGTAACTGCAAGTTCTTCTTATTAATTGGTTGATTAGGATTGACACAGAAGAGCAATGAACACCCTTTCAAGGACAAGTACTACAACCTGGAAATAAAAATCCTTTGCTGCGTTACAGTAGATTCATGGTAAACCCATAAACGTACACTTAGCTTATCCCATTATATTCTCATAAAGGTTACGTGGACTATTCATTGGGCCTGGATACAAATGCAGAGGAAACCAAACCAGACCAACCTAAAGAAAACCAAACCAAACCGAATTTTGGTCAGAATGATTTACAAACAGCAGTTTCTTCATTTCTCCGCTTTAATGGCTTTGTCGAAGATGGTAAGTTTAGAAGAATAGCAGTTTCATATTCAGTTGTTCGCGGAATATTACTTTCAAATATCTGATCTCAGTTTTTAATAAAAATACAATTCTGTAAAGCTAAGTACAGTTTACCAGATTGCATCTTTGTCAGGAGAGATAACAGATGAAATGATAGAATTCATGCAGAAGGAAAGATGTGGAAATGCTGACCTAGCAATAGGTCAGGATGAGGATAAGTGTACTGACGAGTCAAGTAAAATTAACACACCAGCTAATCAAAAGGCATTAGTTTCCTTCCTGATACCAGGTAAATATTTCCCTGTGTTCACATAAGTTTCCTACACAATACCAAGTGTTTGAAATCTAATATCTGAGTGAGTGAGTGTGGTTAGTATGTGAATAGTATCTAAGATAATGATATCAGCCTAATATTTAAAGACGAAAAGACAATAATGAAATGTTGAAATTCAGGCAGAGAGTCGACAGAGAGAGCAGAACCTGAATCATATTATTTGGAAGTAGACGTAAAGTTCAACAATGTTAGAAACGGACGAAGTCGTTCTATTTTCCTTGGTTTTAACTATCAAGCTGAAAGTGCAAACGGAGGAGACAAACCTCTAGAAATAGTGGCTTTGAGATTCTTGAATAATAAGCTTTGTGTACAATTCCTCACTTTATTTGATGGTCAGTATACTTTTAAATCTTTTAAAATCAAACATTTTAAGAACTGAAATATTGAATATTTCCACTTGCACAGTAGATATTCCTCATCACGAAATTATAATTAATATCTCAGGTCAATTTGTCTCAAACCTGGTTTCTAAGGAAACTGTGTTGGAATCATGCTACACCCCTAACTCAAATGAGGAGAAAACACTTTCTTTTAAAGTCAGACTGGACGTGTACAAGGACATGGCAGGGATTTTGGGAGTAGCATCTCTTTCAATAAAAGGAAAAGAAGTGGCTAAAAATGTATATAAGACTGGAATAATTTCTTCGGTAAGCTTTTAATTTTAACACTTACACATTAAACAGATATATGGTGATGATAACATGTTGAAAATTTCCACAGTGCTAATAGAAATAATCCAATCAATAGCTGCAACCATCATAAAGCGCTTCAATCACGTATGGGTAGTCATGATCAGGCATTGCCAGCTAATTGTGTGTCTCATGGCTATACGTTTTATGATTTGCTTATTTATGTTTTAAGCGAAAAAACAAGATGGATCCATCACCTGTATTTCACACAGGCTGTGGTGATGAGAGATCAAGGTGACATTGAGGTCACTTTGTCCCGAATTTGTAAGAGGTGGACATTATCTGATGATGGTTCAACTAGACGTATCAAACCAACCCGCAGAAAGCGTTTTGCAATCTCTAAGCATAAATGGGAAACTGCTGAAAACCTTATAAGATTCAATTTTCAGAATTACAGGTAAATTGAAAAATTTGTAAATATAGAGAAAGCAAAATCACATTGTACGTAAAATCACATTGTACGTAAATCACTCACCTTAACTTGAAATGCCAAAAAATGTCTCAAACACATTCCAGTCTCTGTTTCAGTACCGCACTAGGGCAAGAGGGCACAAGGACTGGGGTTATCGATGCATTACAACTTTTTTCTGATGCAGCTGGTTTCAATTTCCAAGAAGTGGTTCCAACAGCGACAGCTGAGATAGTGTTCATGTTTATCAAAGGTATTCATGCGGACCAGAAAACCTTCCACGGTAATGGTTAGTTTGCATGAGGCTGCAACACAAATAAATCTAGCATTCCCCTTACATTATATTTATTAATCAAAAATGTGAAAAACAATGATATATATAATCACCCTACGCGCGTGGGGTGGACTCCTGGGGTGGACTTTTATTCAGCGCGTATTTTGTAGCCTGTTCAACTTGACGTTTTGATTCGTTACTATCTCAATGTCACAGATACACAGAATGTGAGGTGATCATCTTAAAGAGAAACGTCTCAGCTTTCACCTGGTGTAAAGTTTATCTTTGTACTCAAAATATAGCTCGCTCAGTGTGCAATAGAAGTTGACAATACAATAACCACGTCTGCGACCGGTCGTCAGATACCGGAGTGTTGCACAAAATTGGGTCCCTAAATTAAAATTCTATGACACAGTTACCATGCAGAAATGTCTGGAGTAACATTTGGTGAAAATTTGAAGGGTCTACTGTAAATATTGCAAAAGTTATTGAAAACAAACTAGCTTAATCAGAAGTTTTTGGGAAAATTTCAAATTTTGTACGTAGTGGGGTCTACAGGGGTGGACTCTTGCGGCGCGCATCTGACGGAGTGGCTTTTTCAACAGCCGTCAGTACGGCCAATATCAGAGCACAAATTATTGTGAGTAAGACCTTAATGATCAGCTATGAACCCCTCACTAGAGTAGTAACCGTATCTAAAAACAAGGAAATGTTATTCCCTCAAAGCTCAAATTTTTTACTCTTCTCAGTGCAGTTAGTGTTACTATGAATGTACTAGCTAAGTATCGTTGATCGTAGCTGCATTACACAGTAGAAAGTAACCAAGGAAGACTGCTGATTAACGAAGCAATTTCAACGTGAACAGTTCCAAAATACATAATCATGGCGACGATAGTTCAACTTGAACCTTTATAGTTTTTACAGTCTAAAATCACAATAAAATCACGTGAACTGCAAATCACAAAATCAAATCACTCAAATCTGATAGTCCCGTTACAGTACGCTTTCGTGACAACCTCAACGCTTAAAAAATAAATATTATCCAGTCTTGTGACCACCGATGGCCCTAACTCTCCCTTGTCCGCGAGGAGAATCGTTGCGACCATGGGGTTTCAGTTCTTTGTTCTTCCCACTCGGCTTCGATAGATCGAATTGGCTGGAAGTCAATCTATCAGAAAGACCTTTGTCGATCTCAGGGGCGTGGTAAATTGTGGATGTCGGAGTATAAAGCTTCCTGAAAAGATTGAGACATTCACTCGGTCTGTTGTAAATATCAAATAGTCCTTGTAGGCAGAGATTTAACTTATGTTGGGTTTGATAACTAGAGAAGGCGATTTGATATTCATTGATAGTATAAGCATATAAGCATAAGTGATAAGTTTATATACCCTTTTTATGGTACCTCGAGGCTCGATATCTGTATTCAGTAATCATCACTCAAAATCTACTTATTAAATTTATTAATTAAACAAGTTAATGTATTACCGTCCTAGAGAGGTTTCCTGAGAATTTGAAGTCTCTGTAGGTTGCTGGCATGTCTACTAAGCTCTTCGATTGAGGAGTTTTGGACCCCTCGGCGGTCCAAATGATTTATAATGCTGTGGGCATTTTCAACATCTATCGAGGTAAACGCCCTCGCAGCATAACCTGTAGAGAATGAACATGTCATCAATGTGAAGTTCAATGATAAAAATCAGAGTGGCCGATTTCAACGGGCAGAATTCTAATATCATGGCCATGGGGAATGGACTATTTTTTGTCGATTTTGCAAACCAAACTGGCAAACGATTGTTGATTTTCGTCACTAGTCTAAAATGAATGCAAACGTTCGGCCGAACATTTACATGATTAGAAACTTACCGGATTCTTTCGTTATTATGTACAGACATGGCCGGGCTTGGGTTCCGCATACGATATCTTCTATCAGATTAAAGTTGAACCCACATTTTGTACTGCTCGTGGGAGGAGGAAAGCAAACGGAGACCTTTTCCATGAGCATCTCGTGTAGTACCATCATCATGTCGATTCTGATATCAGCTGCAAAATTCGTCTATTACTAAATGCTAGCTTTTCGAACTTCGTATCTTGGAAATAACAACTTCTATGAAAGAACACACACACACACACACACACACACACACACACACACACACACACACACACACACACACACACACACACACACACACACACACACACACACACACACACACACACACACACACACACACACACACACACACACACACACACACACACACACACACACACACACACACAGACAGATACACACACCCACAAACACATACAGACATAGACACACACACACAGAGACACAGACATACAGGCATACAGGCATAAAAACAGACACAGACGGATACACAGACAGACACACAGACAGACACAGTTACACACAGACAAGGACACACAGACACACACCCACAAACACATACAGACATAGACACACACACACAGACACAGACATACAGGCATACAGGCATAAAAACAGACACAGACGGATACACAGACAGACACACAGACAGACACAGTTACACACAGACAAGGACACACAGACACACACCCACAAACACATACAGACATAGACACACAGACACAGGCATAAACACAGACACACACAGACACAGACGGACACACAGACAGACACAGTACACACAGACACACACAGACACACACAGACACACACACATAAACACACATAGTTCACTTCAGTGCACTACATTACAATTACAGACACACGCAGTACAATCAGAGACACACACACGATACAAAGACAGACACAGACACAAACACACAGAGTACACTTCAGTACAATCACAGACGCAGGCACAAAGACATATACAAGAAGAGCAGATTGAAGTACCTTCATTTGCAGATGTTGACGCATTGATCTGTGGGATATGTTCTTCAGTCTGTAACTGATCATCTGCTAGAACTGTCTCATCTGGATCAACCGGAGGAGTATCTTCCGGCAGGAGTCTGAGTGGGTCTATCGGGACAGCCATGGATCGCTCTCCCTACCTTGTTGAATTAAAGACAAAGGTCAACGACGGATGTCGCATGTTAGTCCTGTAACTAAATGTAATCCAAAATAGTGAATAAATAATTTTTACATCTGAACGATTGTATGTCTGAATGGTGATTTTTAATCAATGAACAAAAATTCAGGATTTTACCTTCTGTTAAGCTGTTAGCAATGACGCTAGCACCCTCTCCCTACAAAACGACCATATCTCGGTCTGAAGCTTTAAACCGTCTTGCCTCAGCAGCCATCTAGCACAGTCGACCTGTCCTGTTAATTGTGTGATCATCAAGTTACCAAATTTAATCCTTCAATATTCAAATAATTGATTATTAGACAAAACAGAGTTTAGAGCTCGACGTATGCTTCAGGGTTTCACACTGTGCTGTAATCAAACGCATGACTAAAACCTCTTGCTACTATTACCAATAAACCCATATTGTTAAGGCGGTCGAATGATTTACCTGAGTTGATCGCGTCCATGAAAGGGTTAAACTGCGTTCTGTCCAGCTTGTTAATGTCCGTTCCAGCAGCCAGCAGTGCCTCCGCCTCCGTCACTCTCCCTGCTTTGCATGGCCAGTGAAGCGTAGAGCTCCCCTCTAAGCTCTTTGACGATCCGACGAAGGATCCAGATTCCTTCTTTTGAGATTGCTTCAATTCTTCCTGGAGTATGCGGATTACCATTTATATACTTCCATACAGGGCGCGTGAACAATCAGCAATGAATTATCAATTAATCAATCTAGTTTTTGATTAGAAAGTCCACAGATTGTGATACATTGGATTTGATATTGGAAAAGACATAGCTTACCAAATACCTTTTCATGGGCTTTTTGGAGGACAGGGATGACTTATTCCTGCGTGCCATTACACCATAACTATCTGCTGTAACAGCAAAAATTAGAATTATGTCGGACATAATTCTAAAAAATTGGAACATCGTAGTTAATCAGTGTGGTGCTAACAACAGAGAGCGATTTGAACGGTAGGCAATTTCATAAATTCCATTAACGCGATATAAGGATGATTGGAACAGGCTAAAATCTACTATGTAGCATTGATAACTGGCTATATCGCTGCATTAAACGATAAAAGTATTGCTAACTATGGATATTCTAAGTGATCTAGGCAGAGGGGAACCGGCACAGCCAGATTGCGTTGTCTTCAGTGACTAAGTTTCACGATAGTAAAATTGACCTTATTTATTTTTAAAAAGGATGCACAGTTCAAGCAATAAATCGATCAGCTGCTCATATGATATTTGCATTTAAAGGAGGGCCCAGTGCAGTGACAAGTAAGTCTGTTAAGGCAACATTTAGTTCTGAGATTAGCTGAGTCTTGACAAAGATAAGTTGAGTTTCGAGAAAGTGCACACGGATAAAGTTATCAAGTGAAAATGATAAGACTAAGTTAGGGTCCAGTCAACAGAATGGCAGCTGTAACAGAAACAGTTCATTGGATAGGAGAGTAGGGGATTATGACGGAGTGAAGTTTATATAGCAGGGCAAACAAAAAACAACTGACAGCACTGAGCAAGTGAACTGGAAAATTGAGGAAGGGAAATAACTGTGGTTGTCAGCCCTTTCCGTAGCAATCAGGATTTCCCACGAGATCGATCAGGCAATCAGGATTTCCCACGAGACTGCTCCATCCGATGCGCGCACTTTTGTCACGTGACGGCCACGTGACGCTCAAATCGTTGTCACGTGGTACAGAAGGGAGGTTCCTAGAGCGTTGATCTCGACAAGAGGGAGTTTCTCACGGTTTATCTTCAATAACTATCGCTATTTTTATAGTAGAGAGTTGAAACTTTCACCAAATGTTTCCCTAGACATTTCTGCATGGTAACTGTGTCATAGAATTTTAATTTAGGGACCCAATTTTGTGCAACACTCCGGTATCTGACGACCGGTCGCAGACGTGGTTATTGTATTGTCAACTTCTATTGCACACTGAGCGAGCTATATTTTGAGTACAAAGATAAACTTTACACCAGGTGAAAGCTGAGACGTTTCTCTTTAAGATGATCACCTCACATTCTGTGTATCTGTGACATTGAGATAGTAACGAATCAAAACGTCAAGTTGAACAGGCTACAAAATACGCGCTGAATAAAAGTCCACCCCAGGAGTCCACCCCACGCGCGTAGGGTGATAATAATCAAGGATTTATAGAAATGTGCAGTCGTTCACATATTACGTAATCAGCCGGGGGGGGGGGGGGAGGTGGGGGATATCATAACAATGATTTCGGCTAATAATGATCAGGGTAGCATGAAACGTAGTGAAAAGAGTTTTCCAGGGGAAAAAAGTCAAAAAGGGGGGGGGGGGGGGTCAGGCCATATGGCCCATGATTACGTAATTTTGCTGTCAGGTGGGTTTTGATTACGGTTGACTACAGAGGGGGAACTGGGGAGGGGAGTAAACATTGCTAAAATATTGATTAGGTAATATGTAACGACCCCATATTAATCAATCAAATAATTGAAATGTATGAAATAGTAACATGCAACAATCGTTATATCATATATATTGTACATCAAACAAATTAAAATTTTTAACATGTTTATACAGGGTGGCCCAAAAGTGACTACCCACACGCAACCTCTTAATAACTCACGTAATTCGTCTCTTAATTGCACCAAAATTACTTATACAATATAACAATATACTTTTATACATTTTTAGGAGTCGAGAAAGCTCATGCCTTTGTTCCAACTCACAGTGAAATTCATTTCAATGATTTCGAGACGTTTACTATGGGACAAGCAGATGGAGCAACTAGCATGTTGTATGTTGCTGCCCATGAAATTGGTGAGGATATTATCTTGTGTTTTGGTCGAATAATTGTTTTGAGATTATTCTATTCTTGAATCTTCAGCTTGTGATTTACAATCGTTTCATAACCTGATAACCATGTTTAGAATATTTCTTATTATAAAACCCTTTCAGTATACAGTAAAGGTTAACTTAAATTGTACTGTACTGAGAAATAAACATTGTGTGTCCTAAGTATTAATTAAATATGCTTATTAAGGGGGGGGGGGGGGGGATTTCAGCCTCAACATAGCAGTTGGCCAATAAACTGGGACCCGTGACCACACTTTTGAGAAGTTCTGGACCCCAACCGCCAAAAGACCACTAAAAATAAAGAAAACTGCCCTTATCTCAGTTGGCGATTTTCGTGAAGTGACTTCACCAGAAAGCCTAAAGCTTTTTCATTTTTCAAAATTTCCCCATGAAATTTTCTGAATGGTTTTGGAATCGCCTCAGGACCTTATTGTTTGGGCCAGATTTTTGAGTAAGGCTTTTTTTAAATTGGTGGAAAAAAATGTTTTTGTGCAAAATAATTTGTTGGCCAAAAAAGTTTTAAAGGCCTAACCTCAAAAAACGAGGTCTAAGATTTTCAAAATTGAATACAACATTTTTAAAGGTCTATATCTCAAAATATTTTATGAGCGATCTCCTTTAAATGGTCCCTAGAACATATCCTGAAAGTTTCAGGGTGATTGCTCAAAAAATGTGGGAGAAGATAGATTTTTAGACACGATTTTTAGAATTTGCGATTGAAAATCGCTCGCGCAATACAATTACACATTGGGCTCATAAATGCTGACCTTAGACCGGCGATAATTTCGGCTAGGAACAATATTTTTCCATGGGACCAAAAGCAGCTGATAGATATCACTCCCCTCTATCAGAAACAACTATAAAGTCGATTTCGATAGAATTTTGATGAAGACCCCCCCCCCCCCCCGGCCCCCTTAAGCAATTTAATTGCTTTAAATAACAACATAACTTAGGGCACGCTCTTGGAATTCTCCACTCACCACAAGCGGATGCTTTGATGAAAGCAGGATATCCACTTAACGTACGCGCATTTAGCTTCCAGCATCTGCATGATGATGATGTCAGAGCAGTCAAAACATTGTACCCAGGTACCTCTATTAGAATAGCAATGTAAAAGAAGTTATTATGAACTTAAGCGATCAAAACTAATCCATAATATACAATTTGCATTCTGGTATTGACATTTACTGTACAATGTTTTTCCAGAATTTTCACCTTTCATGATAATTGTCACACTGGAGTGTTTAAATGGAAAACCTATTGTATAAGTTGCAATAATATTATGATCCATGTTTGCAATTATTTTGCTATTAAAGTTTACATTTTATATCTTAACAGAACTCTCTGGTACTGGAAGACTAGAAAAGTTATCAACAGTAGCTAAGGAAACAAAATACACACCCAAAATCCCATTTCCAACAGAATGCTACTCTCATATAGATGCTGCTCTACAAGTAAAAGGTGAGAGTTTAACACATCATATTTAGCCTTTTTTCAGGAGATATCTGAGATAATGATGGTGCCAAAATGGGGGGGGGGGGGTTATGGCACTTTTCTAGTTTTCACATAATATATGATATCAGGGACAAAAGGATTTTGCGCTCCTGAGATATCACGCTTTTGTCGATTTTTTAAACGTTTACCTCCTCCCTCTGGTTTTTATAAATCGAAATGAAATTATAGTTCTGTTTAGATTTCATCATGGTTTATTACTTCAGAATTTGCATTTATTGTATCTGGACCAACAATTTGGAAAATGAGGGAAAGAGTCTGATGCGTGGTCTAAATTTGATGACTATCCTAAGAGAGTGACAAGTGTATTTCAACAAGCGATTGGTGGAGTGGAGGCTATTTTTAAAGTTGAAGCCAAAAGCGATATAACTAAATTTTCAGCTTTTGTGCTTCATGGCAACAACTTGATATCTAGATACAACATTCTCCTACGTGACAATGCAGAACCATTAATTACCATTAATTGGTCGGGGAAAGAAAGGAATAGTTTTTTGACTAAAGGAAAGACTACAATTGACCAAACAATTAAAGCAGCATTCACATTTGGAGACAAAACTATACTAGTAGCAGATGACTTGCAAAGTTACTTTGAGGTTAGTTTTGATTATCACAACATTTGGGTGTTGGTTGTAAATAAATCTTCATGGATTCATCACCAAGTCCATACTTCTCCTCAGTCAATCAAAAATAATATAATATATGCAAAGTAAGAAAATAAAGTTTCGAAATATTTCAGCTATCTTGGAGATTCAGACCAAAAGATGGGGAGCCATTGTTAGCTGGTATAAAAAAACTAACTGATATGAACAAATTATTTGGACGATCGCCTCCAAAAGCATTTAATGCTGCCATGACATTTAAAGTGGTTGGAGAAGACAAGGAAAACATATACCAGTTTAGAAAGGTGAGTTCAACTTTAAGCTTCACTTTTAATGTTTTTCTGGAAAATAGTCTTGTTTCATTAATAAAACAAAAGTTAATAAAACAAAAGTTAAATTTATTACCAATTATTCAATCAATACATATCATAAATTCTAATATTGGAAACACAATGCAAAATGGATGTCTTAAACTATAATTTCATTGTGACTAATAATCTATTGACTTTCAAAGTTGAATTTTAGTTAAGTATGAAATGCCACCACATCATAGTTAGGGTAAAATGTTATTTTTAAATTTTAAAATTGAGAAGATTGCTCTATGGCTTAAAATGTAAAATTCTAGCAAAAGATATCTTATTTTTAAATAGTTGGTTACAGTTTATGACAGTACTGGCATGACTAGTTTTATTGTGGCTGGTAAAAGGACCCAGTTGCCTGTAAGGGCTTTACCGAACCCCAGGGGACCACAATGTGATAAGATCAGGCCAGATGTTTCTATGTAGAGCAATTTATTTATTTTGGAGCTATGATTACGTGGTATAGCTGGTGGTCATGTTTAAAGGTCAGTTTATCCTTGTGTGCTAATTATCCATCCAGATGCTTAGTGATGTGGGTAAATCATGCCCTTCTACGATATATAATGTTTGACCATAAATTTGTTTTTACCACATAAACTGTGGCACTAATGTCAATTAACAATATTTACATTCATTGATATTTAAAGCGTGTTTTTTCCCCAGCACTACTACACAACAAAAACCTGTCGGCCCACCGAGGAAACACGGTCGCAGAACAAAGAGCCCAATTGTGCTCTTCTATTCTGTGATCGTGTGTATCTACTATAAACTAGCTAAATATACTAAGAAAATTTAATGGAATCATTACAGTCGTTTGATAAGTTCACGTGTCAAAGTAATGTTCATGGTGATCATATTTTTTGATCCCCGGTGGGCAAACACTCGTCCGAAAGGTCAAGGCAAACCTGTCGATGTTTCACCATACGAAGTAAGGCGATTTGAACATATACTCAGCTTACAACTCAACCCATGGGACGAGACGTCGTGAGCCTCAAAATTCTTCAAAATATACAGCACATACCTAGTTAGCAAACACTAAACACAACATACATACGATACCAAATAATGTATAATGCCATTACTAATTCGAAAGAAAATATATCTGCTATCTAATTTAAAAAATTGAAGAATAAACCTGAAGAAAGGGGAAGGAGAGGGGTTTGGGAGAGGCAGAGTAGGAAAACAACAGGATCCTGTGCCGCAGGATTTTAAATTTGTTGTATGATGATTCGTTTTGTTTCGTCTCTTAGATTAATATATAGGTCTGATACCCTTGTCATGGTTCTTTGCAATAACACCGTGGTTTACTCATATGATTAAGTTTAGTTAATTAACCTATTTCAATGATAATTCATTTGCATCAAAGTTGTAACTGCACCATAGTTGTCTGTCATATTTAGATTGTAGAGCATTAATTGAGCATTAATGGTGAAGCCTGGTTTGGTGTTTAGAAATGTTTTAGATGGGCAGTTAGTTATATTTAGACCCTCTAGAAGATATTTCCAAAGGTGGTTCAGTGGTGTAACAAAGGGCCCGCGCCGCTGACCCCAATGTGTGGGGGGCGCCATCTTAGGGGGCGCCAAATCGTCGCTTGAATGCTAGCATAACTGCGCGTTTTGCTCTAAAAACACACTTTTTCAATTTTTAGGTTGATAGCATCTTATTTACCTGGGCCTGGAGGCTATATTGTCAATTGTAGCCGCTGATGCTAGTACGTCACTGTATTTTTTATGCTTTGTTTCAGGACGTCGTGTATCAAGAAGAACCGTTCCCAAATCACATCACCGAAGGCGTAAATGCTACGCGTACATGGAATAAAGTCCCAGACCATTTCAAAATCGCTGGATGGTGTCCTATAGACTGGTAGTTAACATAATATAATAAACACCAACATTTACACCAACATTTTTGTTTCCTATTTTGATGAATAATACAATTGAGCCATATTATTTTTGATATTTGTGATTTGAGCGAATAATATGCAATATTTTGGTCATTCGAACATCAGTCATTTTGCATGAAATATAAACTTAAATTCATAATTTAAAATTCAATAAACAATACATTTTTTATATATATAGAGGGGGGGCCAAAAGTCAGTACCCATACGTTGGGTCTTATACCACCGCCTTGTTTTATATTTGAGAGTTGTTGCTTTGCAGATGGCAAACTGTACTTACTGTACCTACTTATTCGAGGTACAATGTACATTTTTTTTGTTGATAAAATTCAAACAATATACACATAACAATGATCCTATCATATATAAAAATTCGATAAAAATCTGATTAAATTTTATTATTTATAAAAACCCTTTAAGTAGTAAAAATAGCCAAGCAGAGAAACGATCGACGATGCGAAGCAAGAATGCTAGTTTGCGCGGCGCGTCAGAGTCCTCCAAAGGTACTATACAATGTACATGGCTTCTACCGTCCCAGCTTTCGATAAGTGTAGTGTTTGATGCATGCATAAAATAATAAACTGTAAACTACTAGCATGGCATTAAAAAATATATTACATTAACTGTGCATAGCTTGCTAGTTTTAAGATTTTTTCCGTTTCTCTTCTAATTGCTGTACAAAAGCTTAATAAAATATGAACACCGCGCATATGACTGGACGGTGCTCAGCCCATGTCAATTTTACATATAAAAATTTTGTTGAAATTTGGTCACGTTTAACGGGTGATTCTCGTAAAATAGTTGACCATTGTTAATGATCTGGCCCGGCGCGCGCTACTTCGTAACACTTGCCGTTGGGCCATTTCGAGAAGAAAGCGGCGCGCGCTACTTCGAAGAAATTTAGACGAGTAACATCCGTCAAGTAAAATATCTGTTTTATATATTGTCGACGAGTCCAACTCGGCGCGCGTCCTGGTAGCTGTTATAAATCTACAAGGTCACGTCAGCTTACGTAAAGATTTACAATTTATGTTTTACTAAACCTAAATTAGTTTGAGCAATTTCGATCATGGTCATAATTTGAGCTATCAACGAATTTATACCTATTTTGTCATTTTAGACCTTTTAATCAAGGCCAATCTCTCCCAACTAAATAAGGTTTGCAGTAGTTAAGTATTATTAATTATTGAAAGGTTCTGACAAATTTTCATTATGATTCATGTTTAAGAACTTGAGATTTAACGGGTGATACTCGTAAAATATCTGTTCCATATATTCAATATTGGACCGTTGATTCACATAGCCATGTGTATACGTATGCGTACTTCGGCGGTTGCGCGCTACTGCAAGCGAGAGGGCTCTGGTTAGAGCAAGACCGTTGAAGAGTCCAACTCGGCGCGCGTCCTGGTAGGTTATAAACCTACAAAATTATGCAATAAAAATCAACGAATTTCGTCTTACTGGGCCGCGCTCAGCCTGTCATTCGCCGAATCTCTATTTGTTTTTGAACATGATAGCCTGAGGTCCCCAGGTAAATTTCGTCAAATTACTATGTACTATACGCGACTTTTAAAGTACCTACCATACCTCCAAAAGCCCCGGTACCTCAAAAAATGGACCTTTTGTACCCGGGAAAAATTTTGGGAAAAGGTAGGACGAATATGGAAGCACAGGATTGACAAAACACCGTGGCTCTTCTCCCCTCTGCTGACTCTGCAGAAATCATTAGAGCAATTTCTACCACATAACTGAATGGGGTGCCCAAAAACTTTACACAGACAGAAAATAATGTCGGCATGACAAAGTACTGCCGCATGGCCACTGGATCTGTGCGTAGGAATAACGGCTTCCCCACGCAGTAAAAAGGTGGTACGAACACCCGGGCAGAGAAGGTGTCTGGAGAACGAAAAAGGCAAGATTTGTGGGACTTCAAGTCCCAGTCGGAGCCACTTATCGAACACTGCAGACCGGATCCTCCCTCCTGGTAGACAAGGTAACCAACGCAGCAACCATCATTGACGTTTGCAGTCCCAGGAGATAACCCGGCTTCCTGGATTGAGAACAAGAAAAGATACTGAAATATCAAAGACCTAAAAAGGAGAAATTAAGAAGAACTGGAATTTTACCGAAAGGTCACATCGTCCCCTGTGGGTGATAGGCGCATTAGGAAAACTATCCACCATAACTTTCGTAAACACCTCGACGCAGTCCACTGCAATCTGAGCATCTCTAATCTCCAGAAGACAGCTCTGCTTGGATCTGCCTGAATTTTCAGATGGTTTTCCCCCTTAGACATATGATATTTTTGTGAGTATAATACACTTTAGAGTCTACTCTATTTTTAGTTTTATTCTTCCACTGGTTACGGAATAAACACTTTTTACCTGGTCCTCTATATCTCTTCCCTTGCTAATGCAAGCCCCGGTCCCTCTTTGTTTATACAATTTTTTAAACCCGTATATTTGGGTAGACTGTGTAGTGTTATGTTTTTTATATCTATACAGTTTGTTGTACAAGTAATTATGTTTATTTACTGGACTAGAGGGGATACATGTTTGGAGTTTTTCTCTTATTTTTCTTCTCTTGCTCTGGCAGCCCTGATCTTGTAGAAACAGATGTTTGTTTTTAAATATTTGTTTATTTATTGTATTGATTTGGTATTTTGTGGTCAGATGCAGTCAATACCCAATGGGTAACTTGCTGAATCACTGTTTATACAAACACTCTGTACCAGTCCCTGTGTTCTGTCCCTTGCCTGCAAGCCCGTTTCTGGAGTATACAGCTATTTGTTTATAGTGTTTTACTGTTGTTATTATGTATTATACATTTGTAGTAGTGTAGGATTGTGTAATTTCTTTTTTTGCTAGTTCTATAATATTTGTTTGTATAATTTGTGAGTGTTTCTCCGTTTTATTCCCTTGCGTACAAGAGCCTGTCTCTTGTAAAAACGAAAACCTCGAAAGATTTGTAGCTAACACTTAGTCTCTACAAACACCTTTACCCTCTGGTCCCTAGGGTCAGCTTTCCCGGGCCAGAGGATAACTACCGACTGCCAAGTTTGACGCCTAGGCAGTCGAGACCTCTTATTGAGAACCCGTTTACATAATAATAGGATTATGGCCCACATACCATCTCGACAAAACTTGAAACCCAACTGGCACTCTACGCTATTGCAGTTTCGACAATATTTTTCTAAAAAGAAAAATGTTCCTATCCGAAACATGTAATGATTAATTATGAAGGACGTTAACATGTAGTTCTGAATTTATGAAACAAATTTCATTGATTCCTCATGGGGGCGGTATTAGCATTCAATAAGTTATTTTTAGACATGAAATATGCATGATGTAATCATGCTCTCATGTATTTATGTTGGACATCAAGTTTCGCTGAGATCCAAAGTGACCCATTGACGATGCCGCTCCACCTCGCTATCAGTTCCACATTTTATAACATTGAAGTCGAGCTTTGAATGCGTCTGCTGAACTGGCTTCTTTTAAACCGAACTTGGTACTTTTGTTCCAGTAATTGGCAACGCCGTACTGAGACCGAATATCCTCCGAATGTAAGGAAGAACAAATTTTGCGGCCACGGGATTTAAACCAGATAACAGTTTGTGACTTATAGTTTACATTTAATAATAATGTCTAGGGCAATTTAGGAGTATCAGATCGTATCAAATAGTTAAAATAAACAATCAATAATAAAATATTAATAACACGGGTATTAAAATTAATACTTTCGTTCCCCGTTCTTATATTCATATCAAGATTTATGTTTAGCCAAATCATTATGCTATCGATTTTATAGTATGACACAGTAGATGAACTTATTCAACTTTAGCACTTCATGATATACATCGTCTTCAGTCTAATCGGACCAACAAAAAAGCTGATCTTTTCCTAGGATAAGTTAGATCAATTCGTTTACAGTTCAATACTCTCTGCCTTCGGCAGTTTTGACCCCAAAATCGAGCACTGTCTCATGATAAGGGGACAAATTGATGCGGCAGGAATTCGTCATATCTGCAGTTGCCCGTTTTTGAAGCAGAACACTCTTTATAAATGGTATAAGTTAGGGAGGTATGTAATGGAGTTGATTAGTTTGTTAGAACAATTTGACTTCAAGAATCACTATTTGAAAGCCTAAACTAAAGGATTTTTAATAAGGTGGCATTTTTAGTTTGCGGAACAACCCCTATACGGGCCACGCCCTTTTTCAGGTTTCCGCGGTCACTCGAATTTTTGTATTTCAGCCCAGGAAGGTCTTAAGACTATTCCCGCTACATTCAAAGTATGTGCCTAATACCCACTTTTTATATACAACTTATGAAGCAACTTATACCTTAAAATGCTTCGTTTCGGAAATATGGCCGAAAAAACAGTTTTGTGTGGCTTGAAGCAGTTCATAATTTCCGTGAATTTTGGCATTTTCGCCTAGGTAGGTCGTAGAGACTATTCTGATACATTAAAATTACAAATGCCACATTTAGATACAACTTATAAAGCAAACATAGACCCTAAAAACTATTTTCGGAAATGTGCTGAAAAAACGGATTTTTGCCAAGCGAACAATCACAATCAAAGAAACAAGAAATTCAATGATACAAGAAATTTTAATTTTTAAGCACATTTATTACAGAAGAACAAGATGTAAAACAATTCATAAAATAAATGCCCCATTTGGTGTATGACTTTTTTTTTTGTCCTTGACTGCTAGTTTGGGTTTTTGGAAGACAGGTAACTAACGGGGCAAGGAATGGTGCGCGTTGCCTGAAAGCTTGTGCAAACACCGAACGCTATTTCAGTTAGTTTTAGAACAAGCCTCATTTTAGGAGCTAGAAGAAATTTGTTAGTAGACCTTAGGGGTTCTGTTTATAGTTGTTACTATAGTTTTGCATCTTGTTGTGACAAAAAGTCTACACTAAAACATGCTTTAGTTTAAATTGTGTGGTAAGGATAAAAAATGAATGTGGCTTCAAGGTGGAAATTACAGAGCTTGCGAAAGATTATTGGCCTTTGTATCATGGGTAATAATATGCTATAATATCTTAAACTATACATGCTAATTAAAAATTTCTTTATAAGTTCATTCTCAATTAAATTTAAAAATTCAAAAAATATACATTTATTTTTATTTATACCTTCTCACACATTTCTTCTTTACTCACAGTGAATGGACTTGGAATACAAGCCTAGAGGAATATAATTGGTGATTGTGTGAACAGCCAGTGATAAATGTGTGAAAATAATTTTGCAGTCAAAATCTTTTACGGTCCCAATCAAGCGGCGTGGTTTAGGCTGATTGGCTAATAGCGCGAGCGCACTTTTAAGTTTTCCTTCCTCGCAAGCACATTACACTAGTAGTAAAGTCAGTCATTCCGAACTTTGGGGTTAAAATGTTAAAAATTTGGGTCTTGACCTAAGTGTGTGGTTGTCAGGTGGGTGCTACCTGACAGTAAGAAGGCAGGGTATTTCCTCGACGAACATGTGTAACCCTCATACTATATATAAACGAGATGATTAAGATTTGATCATGCCATTTTACGGACACACGGCATCAACTTTAACGCGAAATTTCCTGCAAAAACCGTAAAAGATATAACAAACTGAAACTTTTTTGACTGGGTCAAATGCTCTTAATGGCCATCCAAAATCAGCATGAAAAAATAAAAAATAGCCAAGAAAAGGAGTTTCAGAGCCCAAAATTTGTACCCAAGTGGTGTCCAAAAATGCGAAGTTAAATAGGTAATAATTGGTTTTAGTGTTGAGGAGATGCTAGAGATATGAAGAGGACCACATTGTGATCCTCCCACATTTCTATCATGGTGCGCCAAATAATACCTCCCTGTGAATAGCCCACTGCAATGATCTGGTCGTATTGGGACGCGATTTCTTTTACATCCTTCAATATGTCCTCTGCTTGGTATTTGATGGGGGTAATGCTGGAAATATGGTTAAAAGCGTTGATCAGACGCACTGGTATCCCAGTCTCTCTTTCAATGAACTGTTTGAATCCAAAATGCTGCTTGTAGCTTCCAATACTCCATGCATGTGTAGTATACCGACTTTTGAACCAAGGACCTGGCCTAAGACGATTGCGAAAAACAATGAACGAAACATTTTTGAAATTTTCTGGAAAAAAGTTGTGACTTATAGTAATACAGCTCACAAACAGATGTTTGGCACAAAAGTGTGAATAATATTATCACAGGTTTAGGACAATAGTTCAGACTAAAGACTACAAGTTTATCAAACATAGGCCTGAAATGTTTATCGAACACAATAGAACAGCTGTATACCAGACAGGAGAGATAACGTGTTACTCGAGCCCAGAGATTCTTATAAAAATCTAGAGTACAGCTTGGGTATTATATATAATAAATAAGTATAAGTTATATTGTCGGGATTAATTTTTAAAGTAAATTGAAAATATAACTTAAATTCTGCATACCTGTTCAAACATGGCTTTGTTGGCAGTTGCTGTCTTTTCGAACTTCTTTGACTGAGTGAACTGCTTCATAGCACGTGGAGCTGACTTCTCTACTCTATGTTCCCCCTCTATCTTGCTTAGGATCCCACTGAAATCTGACAAAAATAGGTTTCAAATTTGCATACCATAGTTATCAAGTCAATCTACGAAAGTGACTACAGTTTGGAATTGAAAGTTAGAAACACGATTGAATATTAATAAGTCGCTTGACTGTAACAACTCTTCTGTTAATCTGAGTAGCACATTGTTTCTACATAGCACCAAGGTGCTGGAACCACCACAATGTGGATACTGCTGGGGGCCGGGGGAGGCATATTTTTCAGTGATCCTGTCAATAGTGGAAGCTGATTGGTATTTGGATTGTTCCTGTCACGTGCCAAAACATATGCCTCACCGGCCCACCAGAATCTATAAATAACAAGAGTTATTAATAATAATCACCAGAGTCGAAGTTACAGCCGTTGAGCCACAGGGTGCCGTCTCTCAGCTCGTTCTTATACTTATCTCTGAACTCCAGATGGATAGAGTCGATCAGTTTGTCTGAAATATCATCATATTTTTAGTTAGTTAGATATGATTAGGTTTTTATTACATAGTAAATGCAGTACTACTATCACAATTTGTTTGTGGAAATTTCCTTAACCCAGATCAAAGCGGAGGTATAATGGAACTTGAAGACAATCCCCAAACCTTACAGAGTAACACGTGACAAGGTTAACAAAATGGGACTCACCAAGATAAGAGAGTTGGAGCATCTTCTGAACAACAACGGCAAACACAAGTTCAAACTCGTTATCCAGTTTCAGCTGGATTGTTAGGTTCTTGTGGTTATGTTGGTTGCTGGGGCTGCCCTGAACACAACGACACATTGTTATATTATCGCCTTGGACGTTTATTCAAGAAAATAATATTTATTCAGTCAAGATGTTAAAATTTAAATATGAGCAAGTTTTATTATTTTAAAGTACTTAGTATTACAAGCTATTTGCGTTCATTTGTTATTTAATCTGACCTTATCTGAACTACTTGTAATTTTAAACAGTTTTGAACAAAACACAGTTTTTAATGGAAAGATTTGTAAACGTACTCCGTACCTGTATAAGGATGTTTTTGATGGACTCATTAACTGCATGAGTTGAGGATATGAGCTGGGTACAGGCCCCTTGGAAACAGAATAGCACAATACCACCCTTGGTAAAGATAGAAAATAGCTCCAACATTCTATAAATATTATTCTTTAGATATTGGTAACATGGTAGAACTATACCGGCCTTGGTAAAGAAAATATTTCCATTAATCTGAATTATTTTGAGCTGAGCCTTTTTTCAAATTAATTATAATATATGGACACGTTTTTTTTTAAGTGTGGTGAAAATGACTTTGAGTGCCATTACACTTTTGACAGTGTAAGTGAAATGACTAGTTACTAGAAAGTGTAGCACAGATATGCCTTCAATCTTAACTGCCCCTGTAAGGAAAATCCATTACTTAGTTAATATGTCATAATATAGTACCAAGGCAGTGCCAGTTTTCAGCATTTTGGACTATAATGTTGAAAACGCCCATAAAAAACTGAATTTTGCGACTTTTCTGTTCAAAATTCAGATTATGTCTCAGAATTATTCAAAGAATATTTGGATTTTGGTAGGAATACTTGAACTGTGCTCAAAATAAGCAAAAAGTCATTTGTTTGGAAAAATTTCTAGTTGGTTGATTGGGTTGTACAAGGCCCATACTTTTGATCAGCTTGTGAATGAACTGTAACAACTTTCAATAAACGTTGGTCTGTAATAATGTAACCTAGGAAAAACCTATTGTGTGCCTGTATTCAGTAAAAATTCACTCACAAAATTACAATTGATTTTTTTACATTGCAGTAGCTAGACAGCAACAAATTATAACGTTTTTCAATCATACTGTCGAGATTAAGTCTGCTCAACAGCATTCTGTTCGAAAATTAAATTAAGAGTGTGTCAGTTTTCAGTAAAAAGTCATTTTTAGGTCAAATTCATCACGATTAAAAATTCAAAAGAAATGACTCTTTGCTGAATATTGGCACTATACAATTGTTGTCTGACAGCATAGGCAGGTTCATCAAGATGATTCTTTACAAAATCTAACGATATTGTGTGTTCTAATTCAGCAAAAAGTCATTTTATAAATAATATTTTTAGCTTAAAATCTTCATAGAAATGACTTTTTGCTGATTATTGGCACGATAAAGTAGATTTCTGACAACAATATTATGTTCATCATGGAAATTTGGTACATACTATTGATGTTTGAAGTTCATTGTGCCAGTTTTAAGTTAGTTATAGCAGGTTATCACAACACTGCTTACAAAGCACAAATTTTATGTGATTTACCATTGGTATATGCATAGAAAAAGAAGTCATTTTAAGCTGAATAATGGCACACAGTGCAACAAAATTGTGCCACATTAAACGAAAAAGGCACACCGCTCCCTCAAACAATATTCTGAACTAAAAAGAGTGCCATTTAGCAGTAAGAATGACTATTTCTGTAAAATAAGTCACTTTTTACTGATTTTCAGGACACATATGCTCTTCAAATTTTCAGGATGTAACTAAACTAAGATTCGTATCTGCAACATGAACAATTCGGTGGTTTGAGATGATTAATAATGCTGATATTGACTTATAATAATTGGTAATTCCCACGTTGGCTGCAGAAGTCACTACAGCTGATTAGTGGCACTCTCATACTATTATCTGTTTTTGACCCCTTTATGAACACATTACTTTTCGAAATAGATGCTTAAACTAACACTAGTGCACCCATGGATCAAGAAATAGACAATTTTTGTCTTTTTACATCATTTATCTATATGACTGATATGCTGAATTTGGGCACTCGGGACATAATTGAGTGTAAGCAGTACAGAGTTCAAGCCTTCTTTTAACTGATTAATGGCACCTTCAATCTAAAAGTCAATATGGTGACTGAACAAGAGAACTGAAATTTCGATACTTATTTCATCAATTAGAAAAAATTAAATTTCAAGCTGATACATGTGTGACTTTTTGCTGATGGTTGGCACATAAACATGTAGGAATTAGTTTAAAGACACAACCAAACATTGTCTTATCCAGAAAAAAACACAGTTATGCCTAGATCTTTTAAATATTTTGACAAGAACCATCAATAGAGCAGTCGTATTCAGATATAAAAATGACTTTTTACTGACTTCTGTCACTTACTGGAATTGCTAATAATGACTAAAATGCTGAAACAGTTACTCACTCCAATCTACTAGTGTAATGTGAACAATATTTGAGCAAAATATGGCGAAATCAATGGAATTAGTCAATTGGAGGTTAAAATGGTTTGCTGATTTTTGGCACTCAGTTTAATTGCTCATAAGTCATATTCTGCTTGAGCCTGGCACTTCGTTTTTTCAAATCACAACTGCTGAATATTTTCACTTTATCTTATGTACAAATTTATGGTTGCACTTTAAAAAGTACTGCGACTTTTTCCTCATTTTGTGCACTCTACTTTGAAAAAGGTGAAATCAGCAACTCACCACACTTAAAAAAAAACGTGTCCATATAATAGATTATTCATTATAGCTATTATTATAGCTAAGTTACTCTTATATTATAGCTAAGTTATTTCAGATAACTAACTTTATTTTGCAATAATTTATGTGTTACTTTACATGCTTTAACACCTTTGATAAAATGAAATCTAACTGAAAATGTTACTTCAAACATAAAATTGTATAAATAATTAAACATAAAATCAGGTTAAAAAGTATTAAAATAAATATAAAAACACAATATGTGACTATTTCTGTGTGAAACCAGAGTAGTTTTATCACGTGACGTGAGATCAATCACATGAAAAAATTAGCTGCTGTTATTGACTGCTTCCAATTTCTTCTTGACCAAAGCAGTAATTTCTTGAAACTGATCTTCTTCAAATGCATTTATCTTGAGGGTATTGATTATCTGTGTCTCTGTGATGGTTTGAAATAAGTCCAAGTCGTGTAGTAAAATGTGACCACTTATCTCACACACTGCCGGTTTGAAAAGTAGCTCATCAGCAGGAAGCTGACATGGTAACTGGTGAGACAAGTAATTAGTGAAGTAGTTAGATTTAAGAGACAGTACCTTAAAAGATGTCCCAGAATTAGACATACGTTCCCATTTTTTGTAAGCTGATACTTTTCTGTTCAATCATGCACATGGGCCTCCTTGTTACAAATTATCAGAGGCAGGACGTAAAGTTGTACAAATCAAAGTAAAGTCATTAAATAATTAAATTAAATTAGATTTAGTTCTGCGTTTAGCTAAGAGATAAACCTGGTCTGATGGTTTGACAGGCCACAAACAAACTCGAAGGACAGGTTCTGGAACTATGGTTGGATCTGTGTGAACAGTGCAGGGGTCCCCATATGTTATCATCATATTGTGGGGTATATCCTGGTCTTGTAGTACTTCTACTGCCGTAAACACACTCTGACAGGTGTACTGTTTCAGAAGTAAATTAACAAAATATGAAGATTTATAAACATAATTTAGCTTAATAACATCAGCCTAGAAATTAACAAAACAAAGAGACAAAGTGAGAAATCCAACCTTAGCAAGTGAAACAGTATCAGTCTGAAGCTGAAACACGAACCCAGGTACGGGGTAAGTTGTTAGTTTATAACAACAATCCACTAAGTGTTCAACTGGAGCACTTTCTATTGGCAGACTAGTACTGCATCTGTGTAAACAGTGTTTCTGTTAGTAATCCTAGATTAACATGGCTTCAATCAAAACACTAGCAAATTAAGAGGAAAATTTAATCAGGTACCAAAGCAGTTTTACCTTTATCATGCTCATAATATTGTGAACAAGAAATGCGGCCGGTTTTTTTGTGAATGGCCGCTCAATTTCCCGATCCGTGATTGCGTATTTATCATGGCTTTACTGATTATAAGCATGCAGATATAGCGGAGTAACAGGCCGAGCGCCACCCACTTAATTCCATATAGATTTTGAAAATACCGTATAATAATTTTATGCAACCCTATGTTTATTGTTTATGCAATATAACATACAACGACGGGCTACGGACACAAGCTACCATATTTTTTTAAAACCTCGTTTGCTAACCCCTGTCCTTAACTATTTTGTGCCTTCGGTACTTGAGACATAGATCGGGAAAAATGGGTGAATACTATTTGTATTTTTATTTCAGTCTGTGGCAAAAGGAAGTACTTAGCTAATAAACTCACTCACTTGTACGCATGGAGATGAAGATGATTGATCGACGCAAATGCTCGTAAACTGTTGAAAACTACTCGTAGATCTGGATCACCACAGCTAACAGAAAATGACAGTCCCAGCTCGACTGCACCGAGAGTTAACCTCTGGAAGTAATTTACATGACTAATCACATTATGATTATTATAATTTGGTATTAATAGAGTCAATTATCCAAATTTGGAAAATTTAATTTGTTCACGATCCGTAATATAACCTAGTAATATAAGTATCTAAGTAGCAAAAGGATATTCCTGATATATTTAGTAAGCCAATAAAACTGGTTATTTAAGATACCTTAATATTATCTGTACCTGGTTTAAGCATTTTTCAGGTGATGGTAGAAGAAGAATGTGACTCTCCGATAACGGGCTTGCATTAACAGCAACTAAGGATGAACCACTGTCCATAGAGAAACTTACACAACCTGCATCATCCGACAGAGAAACTCCTAGCAAGATCTGAAAAACAGTTAAATGTACAGAATAGCCATTTATAATATATATTATAGTTATACTCTCCAACCAAATATTAATGTATATCCATAGATTCAGCGATTATAGACAGTTAAAAATAAATTGAAAATGCAAATCAGCCCTGACAAAAAGATTATTTCATTGTAGTAAGGATTCTAAAGCAAGGGCCATGGCAAGAATAAAGTAAGTTGTGGTTTCCAAAATAAAACTTATTAAATTCGTGTCCATACCTCTGAATCATTGAGCTTGTTGAAGTTAAATAAACTGTCGTTGAAGGGTTGATTGCAAGAAGACACTGAGTGGGCAGCTCTCTTCTTTGAAAATCTATGTTCATTGTAATCTGCACAGAATTGACATTGGCCAGGGATACTCCGCAAGCAAGATTCTGATAACTCATATCTAAAAACATTTTCTGACTTGCTTTTACTCCATAAAGAATCGACTAAACCATTAATTAGTGTCTGAGAGACTTTTACTTTATCTGGAGTCAAATGACGAGGGAGAGTCACACATGCTCTCTTCATACTGAAATAATTATTAAGTTATCAGAAATATAATATCTTTTCTTCAACAACGATAGTTGTCTAGCCATAAGGATAGACACCCTCGAAATTGAATAAACCAATACAATAGATTATATATTTTCTCAAAACTAATTGTCTTTTCTCATTGCTTATTGACATTGGTTCAAGAGAAGCTTGTAGAACACAGTGCTAGTGGTCCAATGGTTGCTTTTATGGACTTGTAATCAAACGATGGCCTCTTTGAGAGTTGAGACCTGCTTCTTCAGTAGAGCCTAGGTCTGGTAGCGTTAGATAAGTACAACTGACAGCAATACCATGCATTCAGTATTCATACAATAACTACAACAAAATTTTTGAACAATATAAAGATAATTTCAGCAATGATAATTGTCTAGCTATTACGACATCTATGACAGAAATACTGACTTGTCTCCTTTCTACAAGAAAGCTCATATTTTCCCTGTTGAAAAGAGGATATTTTTCAAAGTGTGCCTCATCTGTTTCAAAGTGACTCATGGATTGGCGCCAATGTACCTCCAAGAGTTGGTTCAAATGAACAGAGATGATAAGGCTGTCAAAGAAACCAGAACAAAAACAGCATGCAACCTTCTTATGAAGATACCTAAGTTCTCTAAATTGAAGGCAACTAGCAGGCGGTTCAGCAAATATGCACCTGAATCATGGAATTCTCTCCCTCTTAATGTCCGTAACATCGATAATATTGTCTCTTTTAAGGGTAAGTTAAATAAATATTTGTATGATCAGCTATAGCCTGGTTAAGCTATTTTTTGTGGCTTCTAGTCTTTTTTTTGTGTTATTTTTTGTTTTCCGAGTATCCACTTCTTGTTTTTCTGGTTTTTATCGGTGTGTCAATAAAATCAATTATGTAATATATATACTTAATAACCATTTTTTGCGACAGTTAATCTGATATTATCTCTTTAACATTATTTAGTATTTTTTGATTTATGAGACCCGTGTTTTGTTTTTAACTTTCTGCTCCGAGGAGGAGAGAAAGTTATTTGAGGAGAGCCGCTCAGACATGGGCACCGTATTGTGTAAATTATTTAGTGATCTTTATACAATATCTTTGTCGCATAGTAGCGGGGTAGTAAATACAGTGTTTCGTTTCGTTTCGTTTCGTATAGAGAATATACATTTTTTGAGAGTACAAATTTGACCAAAACCCATAATCATGGGTAGAGTGAACCGCTGCCAGTGTCTCTCTTTTCCAAACAAAAGAAAATGATATTAATTTGAGGAACCGTCCGCAAATGCAAATTGATACCGAGAATGAAATCGGTCGCTCGCTTTTCCCATTCAATAAGCTTTATTACAATACGTAAGCCGTGAATGAATGGGAAAAGCGAGCGACCGATTTCATTCTCGGTATCAATTTGCATTTGCGGACGGTTCCTCAAATTAATATCATTTTCTTTTGTTTGGAAAAGAGAGACACTGGCAGCGGTTCACTCTACCCATGATTATGGGTTTTGGTCAAATATCATCTCTTTTTGATTATAATGTCAGGATAATTTACACAGTCGAAACTTAATAAGGAGGTAATTTCAACGATTTCGAAATTTTACCTTTGAAAACGTTTCCTTGTGTTTAGGTAGGCATATCTGTCAATAACAGACTGAATATAGCACTTTTTACTCATTCAAGTTGGCATTAAATTCATATATAATGCCATTTTAATATCGTGGGAAAGCAGAATATATTCGAAATCACGAATGAGCAAAATTCTCACCTTTCGCACGTGCAAACTTTTAGCGGACGTTGCGTGCGCATAAAATATTGAATTACCATAAATTTTTGCATAGTGTTATTTAATATATAGTTTGATAAGCATGAAAAGTTTCAGAAGATTTCAAAAAGAACTTGGATCACAACGGGACTCCAAAGTTGGTAAAAATCGTGAAAATAACAATTTTTAGTGATTTTAGCTATTTTAAATGAATTTGGGCGTGTCCCCACGTGTGCAACTTTTCGATTTTCAACTTTAAAACTAGCCTATAACACAATTTAGACCTTTAGGAAGCAAAATTGAGCTCCACAACCCAAGGGATGGCCCAACACCAGAGAATACTAATTCACAACTTTTGTGTTTTTATAAAATTATTCTTCAAAAAAGCACAAACTTCAATAGCGAATATCTTTATGAAGGAGCAAGGTAGGAAAACTTTCCGGTAGATTTTCAGAATGCTTGAACAATTATCTAAGATGAAAATGTCCTCAGATTTTGAATAAAATTACTCCTTAATGCTTTAAAATCAATTTGAAAAGTTGTTATTTTGTCAAAAATCAAGTTTTAAAAACACTTAAATTGATGACGTCATCAAGTGATGATGATGACGATAAATTATTTTTCGATATAATGTAAACTAAAGTATAAACAATTATCTTTAAAACCTGTGGTTCGAAATGACTGTATCTTTTATACTTTTGAATCTACGGACACTTAAATGTAGGCTACAATTTACTGCAAAAGCGTCTATACATATATATATAGCTTCACGACAATCTGTTGTAAAACAGGGGTTCCAGAAAACCCACTTCCCGATACTCCTGCAACATGAAATTTTTTTTACAGTCGATTTGGACAAGGTCTAGACGCTCTGCAAAGTTTCAGATCTCTAACTCAATTTTAACATGGTTTTTAAGGCACCTGAATATGGCGATTTTGGGTTTTTTACCTAATTTCGTATAACATGCTGGCGCGTATTTTGCGCAAATTTCTTAAAAACCTCCACATAACTATTTCTTATTCCTGTCATCATTAACATTGAATTAGAATGTTTTGAACTTAAATATACCTGCTGAACTACTTTCGATGAGTCTTAATGCCTGGAAAACAATAAAGGGGATATAATAGTATAGGGGGACGGGGGTACATAGTGTTGTGAATATAAGGGCAACGGTTATGCTTGCCAGCATTGTGATTTGAATTTTGATATTAATTACAGATTATACATATCATAGATAATCATAAAAGCCGCGCGTCGGCTGATTGCCTCAACTTGGATTAATAGTAATTTTAATTGACAGAAGCTGAAGGATGGCAGTTCTAAAGGCCCAGTGCACCATCGACAAGATCATACAAGGATAAACACCTTCAAAAATGAATAAACCAATACAATAGATATTCTACAAAAATTGTATAAATTTTAAAAACCGGGGTTAAGAATAATCCCTTTGAGATATATAAATGGTCAACTGAAAATAAATGGTCAACTAAAAATAAAAATCCTCATCCCACAATAACTGGTTATTAAAAACACTTTTTACCTTACGTGCTACTTTGTGATGTCACATCTATTAATCAAATAGTAGCTGTGATAAACTGATTATGTCAAACCAAATCCAAAATCATATGAAGCAGTAGATCTAAAGATTTTAAAGATATCAAAAACAAGTGATAATGTGACAGGTTGTATATGTAGCGCTCGATTTTGTAGCGCGATGCACTACTGGGTCGCGCGCGCATCAAATAATGCTTCTCGCAACCACACCAACCACACCATCTTCGGTAGATCGGCGAGATGCACCACTGTGCCTCACCGAGCTGCGAAGGATTGACATCGTGAATCAAAAAAGCAAAGTATCAGTTCAATGACAATTATATTTGAAATATTTGTTCATATGTGATATGTATGTATATTGTATAATAATTTAATATGTAATAATAATAATAATGTAATTTGATTCACGATGTCAATCCTTCGCATTTCGCCGATCTGCATACGAGAAGCATTATTTGATGCGCGCGCGACCCAGTACACAGTAGTGCATCGCGCTACAATAATGTAATATAAACGGTTGATTTTATATAGGGTCAATGCTATATTATGTGTATATTGTTTAAATAATTTTATAATAAGTTAAGCATGGGAGCCGATATTGTATAATTTATTAAGCGGTGCTCAGCCTGTCATTTTGCACCATATATTTGATTCTTTAATCGTTTATGAACATTAATTCTGGTTTTTCAGGTCATGTATAATATGATTTTATAAAAATTTATTGAATTAGGTATTATTGAATAAATTTGAAGGGAATCCAGAATCCGAATTTGACTAATGTGTGCCGCGCGCGCATTTATTGAATTTATTTTATAAAACAGTTTAAGAATCGAGCGCCTATCGCTTGAGCAGGTGGTACGTAGGTTTGATATCAATTATTCGTTGTTCCAAAAGTTTAGTTGATGATAGTAATTTAGATCCATTCAGTCGAACAGGCATCGATCGGCTCCTGTTTCATGTTTGGAGCCTGCAATTTGAAAGGTTTGGGTTTTCTAAGTATAAGTTTCCTTTGGACTTTGTGTAGGACATGGTGGCAACTCTCGGGAAAAGATGTGTGTATAGTTTGCAACGCCGCAAAGTAATGGTAGGAAGTGATAGTATTAAGGGACACAGAATGTTCCAGAGATAGGACTTTCAGAAAAGTTAACCCTTCGTATGTTTTTGATCCGCATGAAGAATCCATAAACTTTCTTTCTTAGCATGACCTGACACACTATGTCGAAGACTTCTCTTTCGGATGTCCGGATGGAACATGACTCTCAGGATGTTAAATGTTTTAGAATCCCTTGCCTGAACTGAACTGCTCATGGACATCGATCTACTGCTTAGCAGCGGAGTAGCCTGCTTTGTAGCATCTTGCGTCCAAACTCCTCAGCTGTTTGCCAGAACTTTCTCACTGGTGCTTCTAGTAATATCCGTGTTCTATGTGAGACTGGTTCTTGTACGAAACAAGAAGCATGCAATACCAGGTTGACATCTTAGAAATTTTCAAGTACTTTACTTTTTCTGGTTTTGATGAAATTACAGACTTGACGCCATGCCATGTCAGCATATCGAATTATATATGGCATAATGGCACTGTTTCATTGTCTAGCAGTTGATAATTCTAACACTGTTAATTAAATTCGTGTAGAAACAGTAGAGTACATCATCTTATCATTATGCTGTGTGCTAAAATATCGAGTTCCAGAAGAATCTAACTGCTATCAAAATTGGAAATTTTATCATTGCAACCACAGCCTTGTTTTAGGGGAAACACGCCGGGTCCTTCCGACCTGGCATGTTTCTTTCTGTGTCTTGATTAAGTTACATTTAACAAATGTTCTCTCCCCTGCCATTTAAAGCTAATTAAAACCTCTGTACGTAGAATTTTAGTAATCCCATCCAAGTATATTCTCCCACATTAAAACTATTATTTTTCAGCCCGGAAGTGTTTGTTATCAGGAAAATACCCTCCCACAAACCTCCCTGCCACTAACTCCCCTGTCACCACACAGAAAGTAGACTCCCTTATCACTGAAGTACGGTACAATTTTAGTAGATCCAGCGATTACAAGATGTGTAATTTGTGAGATTAATTAAATTTGAATGTTAAGTTAAAGTCAGGAATACCGAATAGTATTGATGAGCCGGATGTGCGATAGTTTTAAAAGTTTCTGACTATGTACAAACCTGCCACAATAAAGAAAACAAGCTCTTTCCCCTATAGCTTATTTTATACGTACATGAATAATTTTAAATATTATTGCCTCAGTTTAAAGAGCCGCTTTGACATCAGAAACTTCTCAATATCTATTGTCCATATGGGAGGGATACAAACAGACTCATTTATACAAAGTTTCCATCAGGTGATATCATTATCCCTGCGAGACTTTGTGTTCTCCTGGTTCTCCCCTCCGATGGTTACCAAGACCCAGAAAGTAAGTGACATAGCTACCAGTCTCTCCTGGCAGATCGTCTATCTTACTCAACGCAAACTCAACGAGGTGAGTTTACCATTTGTCTGGTTACTATGGTTACTATGGTTACTATGGAGACTATGGTTACTATGGTTACTATGGTTACTAGTTCGGTAGAACCATTTTCTCATCCACCTCAAATAAAGAATCACCTTTTTAAACTGTACACTATTCTCTGAGGTTAGATAGGATAGGTTGTAAAGCATGGACCAAAAGTGGGAAAAGGTTGCAAAATTCCACAATGTGCAAGGTCTCCAATATGGTATATAAGAGTTTAAATGAATGCATTCTTACATACAAGGATACAGTGGGTTTGGGTAGATGATTGGGGGCATTGTGTCCTCCAAACAGTGGGGGGGGGGGGTTACTGATACATTTCATAAAAGTAGCCTTTAAAAAGTGACTAGAGAGGTTTTTTAAAAGGTGCAAACATAAAAACATATTATCATATCTGCGATATTTTAATATTTTAATTTGAAACCTTAGAAATTTTGACTTGCATATTTGTTCAAAGTTATGGGTTAGAAGGGGGGAGGGGGGCGGGGGCACAGTACAGTTTCAACTTATCGTGATATGTGACAGATCCAGTTTAATTAAGCGTTAATTGCAATGTTAATGCTTTTAAACGCAATTTGGTACATCATAACGTCAGCTTTAACAATTAATACACAATATGTTGGACAGTAAAATCGAATCTATCTCTTTTGCACCATTGTTAAACTTGTACACAACTAACAGTAACCGTAAATAAACTGATTTAATAACCATAAAGCAAATTTACAAACCAGGAAAGCTGTTTGTAAAATCAAAGGGGATGATAGTTTAAGATTGAGACATGTTACAACCGAAATGGCTGAATTGTAATTGATTATCTATCATTTAAAAACACAGCTTCGCAAAAATAAGTTATTAAAAAACAATATAACAATACAATAGAATATACATACTATTATATGTCCATTATTATACATTATATATCCAGCAGCCAGCTACAGGCTACTTCAATTTCCAATAAGTTTGAGCACCTCCAGTTTATCCAATCGTCCGCTCTTCTGTCTTTCGATCTGAAGGATGATAGTTTGATCTTTACTTTGGATACATTATTAACTAGAAGTACACGTTTGTAGTTTAGTAAGGACAATACTTGGTGGGATACCTTCTTAACTTAAAATTAATATTGTTTTCGATACGTCACGTTAAAATGAATATTCATAAACCATGAAAGCATCAATACTTTAGTAAACTATTCATATCACACACCTGTTTAAAGTTTTTCATCCGAGCACTGATCTTCTTCACCGTCATGGAACATCTTGAAAAACTTGATGAGTCTGTCTGTTATTCTGATGCCCTGAAAGTACTCTGAAATGTTGGTTTTGTTGATAGTGTGAATCCCGATGGCAAATTCGATAAAATGCAGTTGTATATTATGACGCAAAATTCACATATTTACATTTAATTCAACACATTTAACACAAACAACTTGATGAGTACAACTAGATTGTAATCTTATTAACTACAATTCATAGACCAATAAATATACGTTAAATATACATTGAGCGTAACAAAAACACACAATAAAATTACCTAGCTTAGCCACGCTTTTGCGAAGAACTTCAAGTTTTTCTGCAGTAAAGATCCCTCCGAAGTACTCCTCGGAATAGAGCAGATCCCAATGACTGGTCACAGTCGTGTTAGTATGGCCGGTAGTGTTTTCCAGTAACTCTTTAACTTGTTGAAGTTCTGTCAGAGTTTGGTTTAGAGCTGCAGAGGTACTGTTCAGATCCTGAGTTGTGGCGTCTAGTTCTTGTAGGGTTACCTGTTTTTGTGCCTCCGTCCTGTTTAGCTGCTGTTCTTTACTCTTCAGATCAGATTTTATCTGCTCAAGCTCTGCTAAGGTTGTGTTCATCTGCTGTTTTTTTTTCTCAAGTTCTGCTAGGGTTGTGTTCATCTGCTGTTCTTTGTCCTCCAGATCAGATTTAGTCTCCTCAAGCTCTGCTAGGGTTGTGTTCATCTGCCGTTCTTTGTCCTCCAGATCAGATTTACATGCTTTTTCCTCTTTGGCTCGGATTGATTCTACACACCCACTTTCGATCTCAGTAACGTCGCCGTTCCTAGCCTTCAGCAGTATTTGTTCCCACTTTATACTTCTAACCACCCCATACGTCTCCTCTATTTCAGTGCACTTGTCTTTTGCCATCTCTTGGACTTCAGCGCTACTCAGTTCCTTGGAGAATAAGTTGAGCTTATAAAGCTCCCCTCCAAATATTGCGTCCTGGGTCAACGTTCCACCATAACTGTCCTGATCGTTTCCGATTACAAGATAACCGTTAGTACCGAGTTTACGTCCTGAGGGTGTTGATCTGCTTCCAATAAGCTGTCCATTGAGGTACACTCTATGTGTTCGGGATGATATGCTCCAGGTTCCACAGTAATGGTACCAAGTCCCTAATGGGACTGAGCTAATCTTTCTTTTCAAACTCCAACCGCTGCCGAATATAATGTTATAATTTCCATTACTTGATATCAGGATCTCATCGGAACTGCCACTGCTCACTGCGTAGGATAGCCAACTCGGGTTACTACTAGATCTAATACCTCTAACCCACGAGCAAACTGAGAAAGCATTCTGCAGAGGTCCCATGCTCGGCTTGTAGATGATATAGTCCGGAACACTGTAACCAAACTTCAGGGCGTTAAATCGGCGTTGGTCGGCGGTTGAGTCCTCGGTAGTAGAGACAAACTGGAGTAGGGATAGTATTCCAAGGAGAACTGGCTTCATCTTTAGACTAGTCTCAGCTAACATTGATAATATGGTAAAATGGTTACTTGTGAGATACCTAAACATCGAGTGCTTAAATATCATAATAAGTTATTAGTAGTCCTGCATTGTCAAAGTTTTTTATTAGTAGTTTCAGCTGTTGTGAGGAATTTCAAAAAGTTGAAGTTTAATTTTAGAGGCGACGACGGTTGATATTACTTGTTGCAGATAAAATGAAGAATATAGAGTATTTTTGACGAAAATAGAATTTTTCAGATAAAATTAAGTATACTCTCGATGAAGATATTTAAATGTTGCCAATAAATCTAGAAAATTGAATATTCGTAATGAAGATAAAAATGAGCATATAAAATGTAGAATAGAATAATCTTGACAAAGATAAAATCATTAATCACGTGATACCATAGGAATGGGAGGATTTACGAGGTTAAGGGGACATGCACCAAAAAAGTTGGACTTGGAGTTTTGCTAGTACTTTAGTTAGGTTTTTCAAAATTATCCCACAGTCAAACGACGATTTGGCGCCCCCCTAAGATGGCTGATTTTACAGATGGATTTCTCGGAATTCTGAGTTTTTAAGGTGTGAAATCCGGCCTCAACTTTTTGAAATATTCGTGTATAAAAATCCACAAAATTACCGATTTCAGGATTAAAATGCATACAACTTCGAAAGCATCTGTTATTTTGAAATAATTTGTACATGATCGTGATTCGTGATCAGCTTGATGGGACAAAACATTTAGTACCAAATTTATGATAACTGAAGAAAAAATTAAATTGAACACATTTAAAAAATTGTTTCTTCAAATATCATAAATTTGGTACTGAAAGAAATATTGTTTGGCGCTATCGGAAAACAAATTCGAGATGGCGGTGTAAGTAAAATGGCAACAGATATATATTATATTAAAATGGGACTTCTTTAAAAAAAATCATAAAATTTCAGAATCTCTCAGTGATGGAACTATAGAAATAATTCTGAAAATACTAAGTAAAGTAATTGGTGTTATTAGCTCAAGTAAGATTTAGAGAAATAACGCGAAGAATAATGAAAAGGTTGCAAAGTGCACACTTTATAACGCTCAACCTAGGTAGGGCCGGGGTAGGAATGTAGGGCAAGAAATGTTGTGACAACCTTATTGGCATGGGTTTGTAAACATGTTAACGTAAGACTTCTTGTGATGACCACGATTCCATCGTGACCAGTTATTTGGCTGTTTTTTGGTCAGTTACTATGAACATAAATTTAAACCCTCAGAATGCTATTTGTTTCTGTAATGTTCAATTTTCCAAAGGCTTTAAAGATTCCTGTCCAAGGAGTTAAAGTACAAAGCGTTGACACATAGCTATTGCAATTTCGCTTTTGGGTACTAATATTTGATAAATTCCAGCCTTATATGGTGGTTAACTCTTTGCTCCGTGAAGTATGGCATTTACTGTTCAACATGAAGGTGATTTATTTGGATATTTGTTGGGCATTACTTTATTATCGAGACAATACAGTTTTTTACTCGCAGTCTTATTTTATCAAGATTTCTCTTTGCCATAATAAAGTCAACATATTTACAATAAAATCACTGTTACAATAACGTTAAGCCAAGACTCTAAGATAATTGCAGGTTCAAACCTCAGAACCTAGAATTATCTTGGCATGCTTCGAATGAACCCTTGAAATTTACAACGAGAAATAGATTCATCAACAAATAGCATCATCCGAACTTTTTAAGATGAACACTAGTATAATCTGGTTTCCACTGTTACCATCCATAAAATGTGGCCGGTATCTAAGGCATAGATTTGCGAGCTATGTATGTTACCACAACTACATGGTAACCATATTATTTTGTATTTTACATTCTACATCCGGTACGGTTATGCACTATACGATATCTCTCTCTGAAAATGAAGATAGATTATATAAACAAACCTGAAGTACCCTACAAATAGAAGAAAGAAGATAAAAACCCTTTAAATCACGAGGAGAATAGTCCAACTTTTCCGTGGAAATGAACACAGAAGCTGTCATGATCCTGGAAACATCACAAACTTTAATAACTAGCTGTAGAACATTCAGAGCAAATAGTATTCTCTACTTCCCAAAACAGACGTCAGATCCTTAACTCTGAACTGTTTTTATATTTCGTCGCCAATATATGTATATATTGGTTACCTACTTATCACAGATCACTCATCTATAACAATTTTAGATGTAAGCCATTATAATAATGGTATAGACGTTACGTTTATTGATATCCGATTACTTTTAACTCTTTGCATTCTCCAGTACATAACCAGGTATTTGCTGAATTTGTTTCACTTCTAAACGAAAAGCTCTCACACCAACTGTTTCCTCCCAGGTGGACTTTACAACGCTCCTCTCCCAAGATTTCATGATAAAACTAAACTCCCACTTCAAGACAATCCGGGAGACTGGTAGTCTTCTCTCTGACCAGCAGTTCAAGTTTAAGGAGTACATTGATCAGAATGAGGTGGAGCCGTGTTGTCTGGAGGGGAGTTGTTGTCATGGCAACGAGGAGAAGAAGTTCTTGAAGAGTGCTGCTGTAGTTATTTTACAGGTTAGTTGTTGTTTTGGTAGTTTTTGTGTTGTTGTTCCTATGGTTGCGAGTGAACCGTTTTGACATGTTATACCTGAAACGTTGAACATACATGTATATTGTATAATCCTGGATGTGACTTCTGATTTACCTCAATATATATTACTTTGTATGGGTTACACTTAATTTCTTACTATGATTGATTGATTGAGGAGCACTGCCCAGAGGCATTACTCGGCACTAACGCCTTAAAATCTTTAATTACAATCAAATATAAATATATGCACACAATGTATAAAATATGAAAAATGTATAAAATATGATTACGCTATTAGCAAATTTGAATAGTACTACTATTAAGAATTTCTAAATAACTCTTATCTCTTGACATAAATTTAGAACAGCGACACAGGGTCTGAAGAATGCGCGGTGATATTTTTGTTTTGTAAATGACAGTGAAATTGCGCTATAGAAAACGGAGTTCTCTTGGTATTTAGTGTATGCTAGTCAAGCTCTAGTCACGTAGCACGAACGGCAGGGCGTACCGAATAGTAGAAATGAAACGAGTAACTAAAAAGGATCTAATTAAATATAAAGGAAAAGTAATACAAAGTAAACGTCAACAGATAAAAACTTCCAAGTGTTCGCTCCAATCAATTGACGTGACTAATCACAAATGGTAGTGCTCAGTAAGACTGGCTACCGTCAATTTGAATCCCTTAAAATGATTAAGGGGCAACTAAGAAGTGAGCTCTCCACATCCGGCTCTCCGGGTATACTCTCAAAACTTCGTCACGCCACACTGCGTGACGGCACAACGCATCTGCTTGTACCACGTGACACGCCGTCTCGCCAATGAGCACTCCACTAGCAGTCACCCTGTGTCCGCGAGGACCAACCACAGGTCTGGCTGTTAGTCAGGTGCAAAGTGAGCGGACGGCTCGTTACAGACAGTTAGTCTGACAGTAGTTCTGCCAGCCAACCGACTTACACTCAAAATGTGTAACTCCCAAATACGAACATATAAAAACGGGGGTTAATATATACCCGGAAACACATACTAAATTCTACGTCCCGTAAACGTTATACTAAAACTAAGATATCCTAAAAGATATCTCTAAATACCATATTACAACATCTCTACCCAAAAATTTTTTTTCGAATATTTTAAAACAATAAAATAATCGCCCTATTCAAAATTTAAATTTTAATGCTCCCACGCATCAAAAGTCCAAAACTTAAAAATAAGTCAAGTCTCAAAATAAAATACACGGCCCTAACCCTGTGCATTAAATTTAAGTCCTCAAAATCCTAAAGTTAAAACTGAAATTGACTTCCACAAATTTAAAACTTTCCAAAACCTTCAAATACTTCCCTCTTGCACCAAGTTGTAGAGTCTTTGGTGTTGAGTCTTCATCATTAGATAGAGATGTATCGGAATCTCTAAAACGTCCTTGACAAGCAAACAAAGAAGTCAAAATAAATTCGAAAGTTTCTACGTTTCCGCCACTAAAGCAGCCCTGAGCGAGTCGTGTTGCGAGTAAAGATCCTAATATCCCTATCAGTACTGTTCTGAAAGATACACGTGTTATACCTAAGTAAGGTACTAAATCACTGCTAAGTACTAAATGGAAAGTTCTAGCTAAGTGCGTAAGATATTACTGTACTGAGACTAGATTCCAAAGTAAGTGTACTCCCTGTCAGGGCTTCTTCCCGTCTTCTACTGGCTCAAATACCTCAAGAGATCCTTGACCACACTAACTTTCTCGTACCCCAAACGGTCGGGTTGTCTCCGCTCCTCAGGTCTCCTAGTGTTATATCTACGCTCCTCCCTCGGAGGGCCCACCGTGGCCTCCAGATATAGAAAACGGAGTTCTCTTGGTATTTAGTGTATGCTAGTCAAGCTCTAGTCACGTAGCACGAACGGCAGGGCGTACCGAATAGTAGAAATGAAACGAGTAACTAAAAAGGATCTAATTAAATATAAAGGAAAAGTAATACAAAGTGAACGTCAACAGATAAAAACTTCCAAGTGTTCGCTCCAATCAATTGACGTGACTAATCACAAATGGTAGTGCTCAGTAAGACTGGCTACCGTCAATTTGAATCCCTTAAAATGATTAAGGGGCAACTAAGAAGTGAGCTCTCCACATCCGGCTCTCCGGGTATACTCTCAAAACTTCGTCACGCCACACTGCGTGACGGCACAACGCATCTGCTTGTACCACGTGACACGCCGTCTCGCCAATGAGCACTCCACTAGCAGTCACCCTGTGTCCGCGAGGACCAACCACAGGTCTGGCTGTTAGTCAGGTGCAAAGTGAGCGGACGGCTCGTTACAGACAGTTAGTCTGACAGTAGTTCTGCCAGCCAACCGACTTACACTCAAAATGTGTAACTCCCAAATACGAACATATAAAAACATTGGTTAATATATACCCGGAAACACATACTAAATTCTACGTCCCGTAAACGTTATACTAAAACTAAGATATCCTAAAAGATATCTCTAAATACCATATTACAACAGCGCGGTAGCGATAGCATAGCATTGTAGAAAATGCTCGAAGATAGTCACTATTTAAGAGTGCCCCTTTTTAACGAAGTCACTGTACATCGGATCATGTATGTATAGTATAGGATAATGTGGCAACTGCAACTAAAGAAGACTTGTTATCACTTTATAATCTTGTGACAGAGTGTTTCGTAACCACCTTAGTCCTTAAACCTTTCAAAAATGAAACCTAAATTTACATATGAACCACAGACACAGTTCAGTGTACTCATCTCTCAGCTGAACTTTAACCGTATATCAGTTTGATTAAACAGCACATTTGTTTAAACGACTTGCTTCATCATGCATAGCAGATACTTATGACTTATCTCATTGATCCAGAGAGAATGAATATTTACAAGTATTACAAATAATTAGCTTTTTCTTTGATTTTAACATATCGTCGGCTGATTTGCGGCTATTAATACATTCAGAACATGATATACCAAATCAATGGCTCTGTGTCGCAAATAGATATCCAAAGCGATAAGAGATTATGCAAGTCAAGCTGTAATGTCAACTGTCAAATCCAGGAATTAAATTGGGTGGTAATAAATAAATAAATTATAGCTGATGTTTAAAGTAATACACAATAAATAAATTAATGTACCACACATAATATATTAAGTAATAAGACCTTATATACAGTGTTGGTAGAGACTGTGCTTTCTACATCACCCAATTTGATAATCTGTCTCACCCCTGAAACTCGACACTACTTGACTTCTACTTTCTAGAGATTGAAGTAGGCATAAACGTGATGTTCTGTCCACTGGTTACACTATTAAATGTGCAGTACAATTAGTCGATATACATGCTCATTCTTTCAATAACCGTGACGTATCCTAGTTTCCTCTATAATGTATCCTAGACCTGCGCAAAAAGGTCTCAACTTACTCACAGCACTTATGGCGAATGTACTTTTGTTGCTGTAATCATGTACTCTGTGTACTCTGTGTACCATTTGTCTGATCACCCACGTGTCTGTTGACATGATACTATTTGGGTTTCTGGAATCTGGCCTCATTGTGCTAGCAGATTACATTGGTCACGGGCTCAAGCTATTGTACTCAAAACATACAGTAGACTGTATGGAACGCGCAAAGACATTCTTGTGGTGCTGCGCGCGTCTCCGGATGTCCAGTGGCGCCGGCCGCGCCATCGATATCAGATAATTTCTTGACACTTCACCCTTGTGACTAAAGTGACTTGTATCATAAATATTCGAAGCTCACGATTATATAATAATGATACCTCAAAATGGAGACATTTTCTTAATTTCTGATTTCGCCCAAAACAGCCTGAAACTGATCTATCATACAAGTTATCAGTTCTTACATGCCAGGAGCCTGAATCTTGATGTAGCAGCTACACCCGGCTCCTACATTGTAGTTCAGGTAGGCCTACGAACGAATGAGAATGAGACTACTAGGCCGCTCATTTAGCCAGCCGCTCGCGCTAGTGTATCTTTTGTTAATAGTAGGATCTCAAATAGTATGAAACACTGCCATTGCAGTCAAACTTGGAACTTTAGATCGAACTATAATCAAATGCACGTTGATGCCGCTGTTTGGAACAGTAAAACCCTGATTTCTTTAAACCAAAAAAACTAAGATTTTAACATATTATACATGATGAAATATTAAATATAGTAAATTACCCGAGGTAAAATTTCTCTAATAAATGTAACTGTAAGAATACATTTTATTTCGAATTTCGATTCCTCACAAAGTCCCGTGACACATTATTAACAATCACTCTAACAATAGTAAATTATTTCCTGGAAAAGACACGAACACACCTCACCCCTCCAATAGAAGTGATAAGCAACATCTGGCCCGCCTTGTCTATTTTCCTAACTGTTACCATTTCCTGGTCACAAACCTTGCCTTTGACTGTAATGGAGCCGTCCTCATTTGCGGTGGCAGAAGCAACAACCGTCTTCTCGAACATTTCCTCTGAAAACTCGCTTCCGTCCAAGGGAATTATTTTCTCGGTACTTTTTACTGGACTGTCAACAGACACCTTCATGTTGTTGCCTTCAAATGATATCGTTTGGCAAACTTTTATTTGTGCTGCAAGGGCAACTTTTCTCTTCAAAAAACCTATCCCAAATTTCTGTAGCAACTCAGCAAAGTTGGTTTGGCTCGCATATTCCCATTCGCCAGCCATTTTCTGAAGATCTCCCATCTTGTTTTGGTGTAACCTAGTAACATGATTGAGTAAAGGTTATAAAAGGGACATTATAGACAGAAAGCCCAATTTTAATTCTTAGATTGAGATGAACATCAAAAATATAATTTTAATTATAAGTTTGATCCGGCGCAAGTATTAAGAAAATATCTCCAGCCAAATTTCCAAAGGGTCCAACCACGGCCTGAAACTATTAACAATGAAAGAAATCAAGTGTGAAAGCAGTTCTGTTATTCTCATAAGAAAACACGTTGTTAACAATTAACAATGGTACTCAAGATAGCAATTAAACGCTAATCAGCTAACTGTAAACAATATTGTTTTTGTTAATTACACTACCGTGATATGATTGCATGTCGCGCTCTTTTCCACTTAGCAGCAAATTGCTATTTGTATTATTTAACCCAATTTATCAATAACTCAGCGTGTTCTAATATAGGATAAATAAAGGGTATAAATACCAAGGCTCAATCAATGGGGTCTGTTATCGCCGTATTACCATCGCTATGATACATCGCTGTAATATATTATATAATACATCGCTATAATAGGCTGTAGTATAGATTCCAGGAATGAGATTAAGCAACTTAGCACTTCTTATCTTTCCTGAAGACCATGGTGGTATAACACTAACAGAGACAATCTTGGCATGAAATATATTTCTTTTACTCATTTTAAATATCATCTTGGTCCCTTTCGGAAAACTTGATTAGTCGTTAAGTGATACTGAGGAACATATAATAATCAACAGATGGTCAAATTGAGGAAGCACACGTACAAATAAAAACAACACTTTGTTATTATCTATAAGCATTTTGATGGATTGTTCTGCGCAGCTGCTGTAAGAATAATTAGTCTGTCAATTAAAAACAAAAGAGTAACTTCAAAATGCTGATTGCTGATGATGGTCCTGTTTGGGCGTGTCTTAGGGACCTGCAAAGCTTCTTTGTGATCTCGTTCTCTATTGGCCATCTGGTTAAACAGTTTGGAAACTCTAAGATTCATCACTTCACCAATCAGTTAGATCGTACTTTGAAGTTTAGTGAAGTCCTTGTAAGATCTCTTCCAACATGATAACTCTGCTGATGATCACTGTGGTTTTAGTACCATCCCTGCAAACCGAACTGAAAATACTGGATACTCACGATGGTGGTACTGGTCCAGCTCCTTGCTCTCTAACCTGTGTTGGGATCGGGAGACGGAACAGCGGCGGGATCCTCAGATGGATGGACTCCAGTTCAAACCCAGGATATGTGTTCATGATGATAGAAATTGAGAACTGCAATTTCGTGTCCGCTCCAGTTATCACAGTAACTACAGTTACTGCAGGAATGCAGCTGGTGGTGTGTCCCGCGGTCACTGTGTGGCATCTTAGCAAAACAGTGTTTTATGTGTACTCTGTTGGATATACATCAGCTTATAGGATGGAGCAGGATGAGTGTATTGTTCACTGGTCTGCTTTTGGTTACAATTGTTAAAACTTAACACAGTCTGAATCCTGAAGCCATCGTGAATTGTTTGAACTTTGAGATCTTTAGTTTTAAGAAACTTGCAATTCGTCTTTTTCTGATCTCGATCAACGCAATAAAAGTATAAAACCCCAACAACATAACATATTCAAACAATAAATTTAGCTATAATTATATAAAAATTTACATTTATTGTATACACTATACATTTTGTTTTGATACGGACACTAATTATTTGTGACAAAAGATAGATATGGTGATTTTTGACCAATCTAAACGCATATATCACTGTCACGACACGATTTTGGGTAATCAGTGACAGACGACCGATTACCCAAAACTTTTTATTTATTAAGAAACTGTTTACACCATTAAAATATTCAAAACCCCTAAAAGAAATCAAGTCATCCTAAAATGGTGATCAGTACAGATCAAGACAGCTAGAGTTAAAATTTGTTTCTCCAAGCAACTCTATCATCGGCTAATATCTTAAGCTTATTAAGATCATTCAAAGAGTTAAGTTTTAAACCTCTACGGGTCAAATCATTCACAATAATCTTGAACAAATTCTTACGATGCGCACCGACGCGCCCTTTACAGTTTGTTGTGACAGCAAACTTTAACGCTAATGCAGCGGGGGAGTCATCAGCACTACGCAAGATATGACCTAGGAGCTTCCACCTTGCTTTAGGGACACGATCTGATAGCTTTACTGAGTTACATCTTAGGTATAAGTTTGCATTGGATATTGTTCCATGAGGCCAATAAATGTTCAGTAATGATCTAAGGTGTTTTCTATGGCAAATGTCTAGTTTTTCTAGTGACTTTGCAGTAGGACACCAACTACTGCAATTGTACATGATGATTGATACAATTTGAGCTTCGTATACTGCTATCTTTCTGGTAACGGAGATATTCAATAAAACGGAGATATTTCATAAAACTTTTTATGAAAATAAAATATCCTTCATCATTTGGGAGTATTCAAAAAGTAAATCCTCGCAATACTTTTGAAACACCCTGTATTTAACATAGCCCCCTGCTCCCAGGCTACCACTCCACCGAGTATCTGGCTATCTCCACTTCTTACCGAGCTGATGGGGGACGTCCTCTCAAACTATGTGCTCTACCCTCTTATCCTGAAAGTAACAGATAGTTACTATCTTTATTCCTGTATCCTACCTTACATCGCCTCCATGGGTGAGTCTTCTTTTTTAGATTTTACTTGTAGTATTTTTCAGTGTTGAGTTCGATTATATCGGTTGTTAATTAACAACTACTAATGATATGACGTGAGTCTTTTTCACTTTTCAGGTTGCGATCTTTATTCGAAACATTTCTCAGTTCTCACATGAATTAGGTTTGGGCTGTAATTTTTAAATTTTCTTAAAACTATCAGCTGAATTATATCATTTGTAAATTAAGTCGATTATTTTGGGAGAGAATTATTGTGGGGAATGCATTACCGCTTAGCATATCAATGCAGTAATATCAACCTCGTTATCATTGTGATAACTGATAAATCTTACAGTAAACTCTAAATCTGGTTGGGTTCTGTGTCTGGATCTGCGAATAACCTGATAAGAACTAAAACTTTATAGCTCAGAAATCTTAATTACCAGATTATCTCTGGGGCCATTTTTTACTCACTCCAATCTCTTAATGAATCCCCAAATAATTCTAAACTGTTATTAAGTTACTTTCTAAAAATTCGAAACGTGAAGAGACTTCAGGCTTCTAACGTCATGAAACCACCCCACTGATTGAATCAGAACATCAGAACTGGAGTGGACCATGTTAAGGTACTAACAGGGACGAGATTATGTTGATGAATGATAAGTGAAGTCATTAGCTGAGATTTGATTTCTCGTGATCTGGTCGTTAGTTCGTTCTTGAACATTTTCTCGAGAACACCACGTACTTTTTAAGAATCCTCGGTCCAACTCCCTTGATATTTTCATAATCCATCTGTCTGTTATAAATTAGATCCTTTTGAATTTAATATTTTGAATTTATTTATAGTTGTTGTTTTTTTTTTGAGCTTTTGTATAAATCATTATGCTGTTGAAATGTACCCTTATTGCAAATATTTTGACAGAATCATAGCAAGGAACGAAACTTCCATACGGTATAAAGCTGATGCAGTGTAACAGGAAAGTACTCGGAATCCTCACACATGAGTTTCACAATATCCGTTATGCTGATCCTCCTATTGGAATGTTGAGGTTCAGACCGCCAGTAAGGCACTTTGAAGAGGACCCTGAAAATGAGGTTCTAGCAACAGACAGTACGGAGATTAAATGTGTCCAGGCAACGTCTGGCGAAGGAGCGGAAGATTGTCTGTTTTTGACCGTTCGGTCTGGAGATTTGACTGCTTCCAAGCCTGTTCTAGTATGGATACATGGAGGAGGACTTTCTTTTGGTCACGGAACATCGCCGGGTTACAGTTTTGATTCAGAGGTGACTCACAAGGTTGATGCTGTAACTGTTAACATTAACTACAGGTTAGGTTTCCTTGGTTTCAGTTCAGTGAAGGAGTTGTGGGACGAGGACGAGGGTGTCTACGCTAACAATGGTATCAGAGATATGATCGCAGCACTGGATTGGATACAAGATAACATATCAGCGTTCGGTGGAGACCCTGGCTCGGTAACCCTGATCGGTGAGAGTGGAGGTGCTACAGCTGTGCTGGCTCTAACTTGTTCCCCGCTAGCTAACAACAAGTATCATGCTGTCATTTCACAGAGTCCAGCCCCAGAGATGAGATTTACTCACGTAGATGGAGATGTTCACCAAAGGACCATCGTTGATCAACTCGACTGCACCCAGGAAGCGGCTGCTTTCCGTAAACAGTGTCTGTTAGAACTGCCTGCTGACAGGTTTTCAGGGAAATATCTTGACATTATGAGCGGATCGGGTTACTTTACATTCCCCTTACTGTTTGGTGAGAAAGCGGAGGTTGTAGGACTGGTTGTAATTGATCCAGTTGTGGTGACTGTGTCTCCTAGGAACTTAAGCTCAGCTGATTTTACTCCGTCCTCTCCGTTACCCATAATAGTTTCGAACTTAGCAGAAGAAAACTGGCAGAGTGATTGGGAGCTCAATCCACCGTTTACTTCCAAGGCTGATTTGAGGACAAAACTGAACCCGATGTTTAAAAACTTGTCAGACGAACCAAATGTGACGGACGAAGTGATAGCCCTGTACCCTAACCAAGACCCGGTTTCTATTTGGAGTCTTATGACTTGTGACATGAGGTCCACTTGTCCGACTAACAGTGTAGCTGAGGCCATGTCCGCTGCTCCCAACAGGGACATTTACAGACTGTACATCACCCACCGTTCTAGTCTAGGGGTTCCTGCCTTCCATGGTTATGATTCCATCGTGTTTTTCGGGTACAAAAGTGAAATGTTTGTTGCAAGAGAATTAGATATCAAATTTGAGAAACATTATATTGATATGGTCAAAAAGATGGCAAAGGAAAAGACATTTGAGGATGGGTGGATGACGTTTCCCGGGAAATCTATGATATACGAGAACTCTGATGAGATTTCTAAAATTAGCAGTAGTAAACCTCAGCAGATCGTGTGTGAGAAACTGAGTGAACTGAATTTGGTTAAATATGGCTGGCAAAATAAGTAGCTTTATTGACAGGGCAAAAATAAATATGAGGTTTTACAACTGACTATGAAAATTACTATACTGTACCGTGGTTCATGATATTTTCTTATAGCTTTATAAACGATTTCAAATGTATAATACAACTATACAATAGTACGTAATGTATTTATTTTGTATAAATAACGACGGATAAAGGCATGTCCATTTATTCCTCAATTTTTGGTCAAACGGGCATCGATGAGCATTACTGTTTTTAATCTTTAAAAACATCTAAAACTTGAGTTGTGATGAAAATAAACATCACCTATAACCTCACAAAGCATTAAAGGGGATTTTAAATAAGCCAATCCGTTCATAATATCAAGATATTTCCCTGAAAACTTGTCAGCCGATAGGTATAGCAGAGACTGTTTACCAGGGACAAAAGGGGGGTGATGCAACGACCATTAATGTCAGTATTTGGGATTTTTCCGAAACTGACATTGTCATTAATGGTCATTAATGGTCATTAATGGTCATTAATGGTCATTAATGGTCATTAATGGTCATTAATGGTCATTAATGGTCATTAATGGTCATTAATGGTCATATGCATAAGATATCTCAAATTTTGAAATATCTGGCAGTAGCCTTGACTAATTGAGGGGAGAAATCATGTTTCGTACTTTTTTGTACGTGTATGGTTCCCTATTTTTTCGGATTACTTTTTTTTCGGATCACTTTTTTGAAGTCCCAAAGGACCCCAGAAAGTGGGGCTTTTTTGGGCCCTAGAAATAACTTTTGAAGTTTTACGATTCTCCTTGCCGTGAAAATCATTCCGTTACACTGTTGTTAAATAGCTGAGTAAATTTTTAGAATTTGGTGTTACGATGAAATGTGTTTGTCTTAAATTGTGTATTCCACGTTATACTTTCAAAACTGAAGTTATCGGTTATCTTTATCAGAATAATTTTTAGATGTTCTTCACTCTGTGGGGAGAACACTCGAAGAAATTCAATACCAGCGAGAACTTCATAACTAGAGAAAGCTTAAAAGACTTAATAACCGCAGCTAACGGACTTGTCTTGTATTTTGTCGACTTGATTTGTAATCACCCCAAAGCACCAGTAGTACCGTGGTTTTTATCGTCTGATCATAATGAACAACTCTTCGCTCGAATTAGGGTTGGACGTCACTCCGGTAGACGCACACAAATCGACTCTACAAGAGTCCCTGAAGCCATGGGTCGTTACAACCGACTATTAGAGGTGGAGAATACGCTTGATGTTGAATATGGTACAAGTGTTCATAAAACCGCTCATACCCGGGGGAAGACACTCTTTCGTTCTGAGTGGAGCAAACATCCAGAGAAAAAGATTGCTGTTGATTTTGGAGGTTCGGTCAAGATGAGTAACCTTATCCAAAGCTTAAAAAGAGGATCCAAGATTGGAGAGGAACTCTTTGTTTCCTCTTCTAGTTATGGAAGTTCGTATCTTTCAGGTGATAATGGAAATGTTATTTCTGAAAGACGGCGGAGTCTCCAATTTCCACTCTCATATGGTAGTGAACAACAATCAGATGATGAATCAGACCATGAGAGTGAAGACAATTTTTCTGATTATGAGGACGAAGAGCTGGTTGATAGCTCCACTAAGGTCAGAAATCGGGGGAAAGAGATAGACTATCGGTCTGCCGTGACCAAATATTGTAACCAAGGCAAGACCAACTTTGGTGCGAAAAGCCGAAGGAAAAGATTTTTTGGTCTTGCCTTGGATACAAGTATTGGGTTGTATCGCCCAGTCTGTAAAGGTTTAGCAGAACCAGAGCTATGCAACGCTCAAGAGGTGCAACTTGCAAGTTGGTGGAACAATAACTGGTATACTCATAACAGGCAAGGATGAAAAAAGAAGGCGCACGGTTGTGCAGGGCAAAGTGCTTTCTATATCTGTTAAGACATCTAAAGCATCACAAAGAAAAGGAAATGCTCGATCGGGAGAGAGAAGACCTGCGGTGGCGATCTGTATTGAGCACGATATGTCTTCCCAGTGTTGGGTGAAGACCCAGGATGGTTCAATAATAAGTTTAGATTGGGAGAACATTCATCGGAATTAAATCTTGCTCGGTACCTTGATGCATGATGTTATCATTGGTATAATTCTCTTTCTTAAATAGGGCTTAAATAGCGATCTTCATTAATTGTTATGGTATAATTGGGTTAGTTGTAATATGTGGTAATATCAGTGTTTGAGAAAGTTGTAAAATTAACTTTTTATCCCCGTCCAAGACGTAAAGTACCGTCTACTTATTGTTAGTTAACTTTAGGTAGGTTCTAAGTGGTCCTTGTGTCCGTCCTTCTTGTTCCAGGAAGTGCGGAAAAAAACATGACCATTAATGTCAGTATTTGAAATTTTGGCAAAACTGACATTGTCATTAATGGTCATTAATGGTCATTAATGGTCATTAATGGTCATTAATGGTCATTAATGGTCATTAATGGTCGTTGCATCACCCCCGACAAAAGGAAATCGCGGCATGTACGGAATCGCGATTTTTCCCATTATTTGCGACAAATTTTATGTATAGTTTAATATACCGCGAAATTTAATTCGCGGTATCGCGATTTTTGGCCAAAATAACCGCGAAATCCTTTTGTCCCTGAGTCTGTTTACGGCCAGTAGTTGTTTCCTGCAATCAATCATTATTCCGAATTTTTCTCAGGCTCACCGATGAAGGACAGAAAGTTTTTCACACAAGCAAAAACGTACGAAGATTTCATCAAGAAGATCAACAAGGAGGCTGATTTAAGCAAACTACGCCAGCTAAGGTTATTTTAGAGGGGTCAACATTTTAGGGGTGCATGCCGCCGCCGGACGCCGCCGCACTGTTAGATTTGTACACACCGCAAGGTTTCAAGCCGGCCTGCACCCTTGCAACATAACTCAAAACACTTCATACATTACATAAATGTTTTTTATTGATGGTAAACAAATCTTCAGATACAAAGTCATAGCAGAGATTATGCAAGCTATGACGGTTGAGAACTTGAAACAAGAACAAGATTTTGATGGACTTTTATCCCAGATAAATAGTAAAAGTTACCGCCTATCCACCCGAAATCTAGCGAGATACATCAACCAGGTTAAAATACAAGACATACCTGTTTATCTAATATTATTCCGCCACGCTATTAAAAAAAACTATCGCTAGCTCAAACATTTGAGAAGTAAAATTTGTAACCTATTAAAGTTTAAAGTGTTCCAATGAATCTTTTTATTGCAGTGCAAAGTTGCGAAGGTAACGTGCGAGAAGCGAATATACGATATCACGTGCTTACAGAAGCGTACCCCGCACTATGCAGATATGAGGTTCCGGGAGGCTGAGACCAAGTTATTGGAACTGGACGAGATCATGTACAGTCCGTACGTCCTGCCCTTCTTCGTACAGGTACTTGGTGTGTGGTTTAGAATGGTATATTGTCGTAGTTGCAACAATCTGATTTATTTGCTGAAACTTGAATGTAATGACTCATGTACAATTTAGATCATATTTGTTGTTCGTGATATTAGCCACTTACATGATCTTGCTGAAAACAATAACCTCGTTCTTCAATATATTTCTATTTTGCTTTATATCATATATCTATCAGTTCCTAGAAAAGCAGAAGGACTACGGGCCTCTTAAACTCTGGTTGCTGATAGAACAGTGCAGAACTCTGGAAAAGCGGCCAGAGGAGTTGTATCCGCTGATAAAACAGGGCTATTTGGACCATCTCACTGTCACGTCCCCTCTGAGGGCTCATCAGGCAAGTAGATAAAGATCTATCAAGTATATCTTCGCACCCAATTCCTCTCATATTTTGTCACATCACAAATGTTTTGATTTTTTGACTTATCCTTTCGTATCCGCAGGTTTCCCGTCATCTGATCCGAATGGCAGAAGCGTACGTGGAGCATAAGAGCGGGTACTGGCAGTTTATATACGAGATACAGGAGGAGATCTACACTATGATCAGTGAGCAGCATTACAAGCCTTTCCTCATCAGGTGACAGAACACGTGATAGTAACAGCACATCACGTGATAGTCACATCACGTCACGTGATAGTCACAACACGTGATAGTCACATCACGTGATAGTCACAGCACATCACGTGATAGTTACAGCACATCACGTGATAGTCACAACACAACACGTGATATTCACAACACATCACGTGATAGTCACAGCACATCACGTGATAGTCACAACACATGATAGTCACATCACGTGATAGTCACAGCACATCACGTGATAGTCACAGCACATCACGTGATAGTCACATCACGTGATAGTCACAACACGTGATAGTCACAGCACATCACGTGATAGTCACAACACGTCACGTGATAGTCACAACACGTGATAGTCACAGCACATCACGTGATAGTCACAGCACATCACGTGATAGTCACAACACGTGATAGTCACAGCACATCACGTGATAGTCACAACACGTGATAGTCACATCACGTGATAGTCACATCACGTGATAGTCACATCACGTGATAGTCACATCACGTGATAGTCACAGCACATCACGTGAGCCTCACGGTTGCCGTTACGTTCTTAAAAACCTCAACATAACTGTTGCCGTCGAAGAAGAAATGCTTTAGAAAATTCAATAACAATTTAGTTTGTTTTATGTGAGAGTGTAGTACTCTATAGCTAATACAAATAACTAATGCCGATATTTGGGGAGCCGTAAAATGACCCAATAGTCAAAATACTACTGTAAACATGTTAAAATACCCATGAGATGCCAATTATCACGTGATATTTAAACCCTGACAAACTGACCCTACCATAAACATAATATTTGTAAAGACCATTTACCGAAAAATATTTTATTTACAAAACATCTGTATGTCAAAGTCAAAATGCTACGATAAATTATACTCTTAACCAAAACTTCACTGTATCCCGACAAAAATATTCTAACCACCTATAAAGAAGACCGAAACAATTAATTATATTGAAATTAAATAATCCCTTTACGTAAAAACGTTATAGTAATATAAATTTAAATGTCCAAGATGCTTCCAAACAATTGTTTACAAAAATTGTAAATCAATTGATATTTTCTTCTATGTATCCCTCAAGTTTTTAATAAAAATTCACGAAAGTGAAAGTCATTTATGCCTCCATGAACATCAAAATAAAATGTCCATTACCATATCGAAATCTGTTCGCAGTATTTGCCGTCATCTCCACCCTGTCAGCCGTCATCTTCACCGTTTCTTTTGTCTGAAAATAATTTGTTTGATTTTCGAATGACTTGATCGCATCTTGAAGCAAGATTGCAGTGGTGGTCGGTGGAATGGTTGCGACATGGAGGATTTGGCGATAAAAACATAATACTAAAATTGAAAATAGTTAATTAAATAATGATTACTTAATACTTTACATCGACCAGTCTGCAAAGTCAGCCCCCATCTCCACTGTGCTGGCTGTGTGTCTAAACCGAGTCAGCCACTAAATCCTGGAAATTTTTAAACGTTTTAAAAATTTTCATTGGTACACTAAACCGAGATATATCAATAGCATTCCAGATTTATAACTATTGATGCTAAATATTTAAACTAGTTGATCATGGCACTTATCTGATACCTCCCGCCGCAGCTCACAGTACATGCAGTATGTGTGCACAACGGAGGGGAGAAGGGGAGTCCTGCAGACAGACTCCGGGTCTGCCTCCTCGTCACGTGACCGAGCCGAGTCCGTCGGGTCAGACTCTCTTTCTGACGACTTCAGTAAGGTATGTACCAGCTGAGGTTTCAGTTTAGTGAGGAATTTAGGTATACATTTTTTAAAGTTTGAAATATATATTACTAAAGTAAGTATATTTTGATAGTCTCGGCACCGTCTAATATTTATAGAAATAATACCATTTACTCATTTAGTATTTACCAACAAAAAAAAATTTACCTGATTTCATCGATCTCGTTCGAAGCCTTTAAATCGTATTGTTATCAAAATTGATTTACGATGTCGGGTAAAAATATTGTACCTCGAATTTCGAGGGATACTCACTACTCAGTCCCGGAGAAAAATATAGTCTGATCCAATCAGTGATGTGTACAAATACTCAATAGCAAATACATTTATAAATATATTCCCTGCACTCTGCTGTTTGATATCTAAGATAAGGTTGTTATTTAAACGGATTGAGGGGATGGGAGACTGGAGACTGAAGAGGGAGGGAGGGAGGGAGGGCGTGACTGGAGAGGGGAGAAGGAGAGAGGGAGGGGGAAAGGGAGAGGGAGAGTTTGGGTTTTAAAGTGTACAGTTTAAAAGGCTCTAAAATTATACTCACTTAAGTCTTGATGAACTTCCACTTCAATAAGTGATACAATTTCTTTGCCGCCTTGAATCTGAACGCTCGATCCTTTTTGATATAGATAGGAAAAGATATAAAGATTTTGTCCCTCTTCGAATTCAATTGTGCGGACTTTAACCGCGCGTTCGTAGTCTCCTCCGGTCAAACCAATACCAACCCAAACTGTCACTCCATCTATTCTGTTGGAATCAGATCCCTCTCTGTTGTATACCTTGTGGACGTATGCCGTGAGATGTATATATGCGGCGAATTCTTTTGCAGGCCTATGACATGGGATTGATATGAATTTTATATTGATCGCCTACCTATTTTATTATTTTAGTTCATTTTTACCTTGATCTCACGTATAATGATTTCGCTCGGTAGTGTTAGTAGCCACCACGCATCTTTTCCTTTCGTGATTGTTCCTGCCCGTGAATCTCTGTGAAATATTATTTTGTGAAATGGTATAACGTAGTGCTAGTACAAACTTTTTTTGTCGCGTACCATCGTTGCACGATGTAAAAGGAAATAGGATATGTATTGAGGGAGGGCTAAATTGGAGTCCACATGGCTCACGGAAGCCAAGTGGACAGAAGTTTGCTAATTCTGGGACGGATTAACATTAGATCTGTCGAATTAACTGGCAAACATCTGAGTGTTACAAAATACCATTTAGTATTTACCTGCTTCCATCGATCGCGTTCGAAGCTTCAACTTCAGGGGAAGTTCCATCGATTTGCTCAGCAGTTCCGCGACGAGCTATGTTCTTGGGATCTGTCACGCCAACTTTACCTGATTTGATACATTCTTTTAAATCCTAATATATACATGTTATCTTGTTACAGCAGAAAAAGCAAAATGGAAAGCTCCATAATATTAATCATATCTACTATAAGTTGAACCCGATCGGTTTTCCTATCCTTTTTGCCAATCAATTTTCTCATGATAACATTGGAGTATGATAATTTAGCCAATGTTCTAGCATTTTTTTGAATATTTTCACATTCTTGCAAAATAAAGAGCCGTATTCGTTAATCAGTGGAATTAAAGTCAGTTAAATCACTATAAACTGCCATATCACTGGTATTATTAGCTCTTGTGCATTGACCGCCAGACGGAACCATGTTTTAAAGTCATGATGAAACGTAGAAGATAAGTTTGACTCTAGTGCTAACCGGTACCTTTAGTGTTGGAGTTTGTGAATATTAAAGACGATAGATACCAACCTTTGCAAACAGGTGGTGAGACCGGAGGTGAATTTCCAGAGGTGCCGTAGACTTCAATCTCCGCTAAATGCCACGGATGTTCTACCCTTCCATCCTGACTTATCTCTATCCTATTTCCGTCTCCTCTGCAGTCGAACGTGTAGGAATCTTTTGCACTGTCGAACTTACCGCAATCTGCTACATACTCATCTCCTGTCTTTATGAAGAGTGAAGCTCCAATTATCCGTTGTTGAGACGAGTCTCTGTTATAGACGATCACCTTGGTGACAGAGGAGCACTTCGCCAGATTAACCCTTATCCACAAACCGTGATCTTCAGGTTGTTCGAGAGTGTGTGCAGGGCTTCCTTTGTTTCCATCAATAAGCTTTGAGGCAGGCCACCCATCCTTAATGCTCTTCATCTCTGCACTTGCCAGGTCCAACTTATTTTCTTCTGAAACAGATTTTTGTTGTTAGAAAAGCGGAATTGCTTTTTGAATATTGAATAGGCGCGATTTATATCTCCGCAAAAAATCATACATATGCTCTCAAATTGGAGCCATTGCAATAACATCTTACAGATTTCATGAATTGGAGACAAGCCCACTTTTAATTCATCAGTACGGTTCTTTTTTATTGGTTCAGTTGAACATATCAAAACATTCAATATTCATCATTATGTACTAGGTATATTTACCCTCGGCCTCGGAGAGATTTGAGATCGTCCCAAACAGGATCAGGAAAAACAGCATATATTTCTGATGCTATAAGGTAATGGTTGATGAGTTTTAAAGAACAAGTCATGCTATTAGAAAATATCTCGTACATTAAAAAAAGTGTTCGACCCTAGAGGGCTAGCACGGTTCTTATTGTCTTGTTAATTTAATAGCTAACGAAACCTACAGAACGATACTCTGGAGTGTTGAATGTGCAGTAGGAGAGTGAGAGAAACAGGCTCACGAGATCTGTCGAATTGGCTATATTTTTTAATCGTTTCCTAGTAGCGCAGTATTTTACCCATTGTTTTAGAGGATTAAAGTGATTACAAGGAGTGAAACTGAAAGAGGATATTTGCGTGTAGCTCGGAAAATAAAACGTTACTTATCAAGGTGCTTGGCATCGTGGCTAGGAAGTTTCACTTTGGGAGAGATGGCAATTAACTCATAATTGGAGTCGTTATGATGTAGGAAACTCTGAGGTGAATCATTGTTACTCCAAAAATAGGAACGACCGAGTCGACTTCCTCAAGCCGGCAATAACAATGAAAATGAGCAAGTAAACAGAATAAGAAAGGGATTGTATGCTGATGTAAATTCGACCTGTATTGCTTCAACTAATTTGAACTTCTAATAAATTATGGACAAAATTAATGTCGATATATTTCTTTCAGAGACCTTAATCAAATAGAAATGAAATAAAAGTTCTAACTTCTTACATTGGCCAAGGTGCAAAACCGCATAGAATGTCAAGGTCAAAATGATAAAAAGATTTACATTATAGCTGAAAAGATGGTCGATAGAACTTTGAGTACCTCAATCGTGTCTTGTGCCTTCCTCAGTGACCTTGTAGCTGGTCATTAAAGAAAAATTCAGTCAAAACAATGAAATCTGGGTCGCAAAAAGCTGAAACTCGAAGTAAGATGGTCATTGAAGATGGTCATTGAAGAAAAACTCAGTCAAAACAGTGAAATTTGGGTCGCAGAAAGTTCTGAAATTCGAACATGTCCTACCGGTAGGACATACTCAAAATGTTCATTGCATCAAAGTTTTCTCCGAATATACTGCTTCGAGTACCTTGATGGCGACTTGTGTCACTCTAACCGAACTCACTGATTGGTCACTGGTCAAAATTTCAGCCAAAACCGCGAAAATGTGGTCAAGGGGACGGCAGAAAAGCTCCTCTTTAAAAATCTTCCAAAACGTCTTTTTATATTCTGATGATTTTCCGTTCATCAAAGCTGTCTTTGGGAATAGAAGTTTGAGTACCTCAATTGTGTCTTGTGCCATCCACAGTGACCTTGTAAGATAGTCAATGAAAAAAATTCAGTCAACATAGTAAAATTTCGGTCGTGGAAAGCTGAAATTCGAATATGTCCTACCAGTAGGACATATCCCTAATTTGATTCCATTCTCTCACTGGATGGCAAAGCTGAGAAGGTATTTATTAACAGTGGTTAACTCTACCCTACTGAAATTACACAGCATGTTTTCTAGAAGTAGGCCATCATTGTAATGGAGAGGGGTTACTGCTCGGTCAAAGAGAAACATTTTGTAAAACGTTTCCATGGAATTCATTAGCTTAGTCAACAGTTGAATCAGGCGAGTCATGAGATTCAAGATTAAAGTCAGACTAAACTAAAACACAAAGGGGCTCCACTCTCCAGGCTCCTAATTGCACACTGCATTATATCAACACCTGTCTCGTAAGGTGTCCTAGAGAGGGTGAAAGGATTTGTTGACTAGGTTTATTTTCGGATAGTGGCTGATGACGGTAAAAACCTCGAATATTTTATTGAAGAAAACATAAAAAGTCAGCAAAAACAGAGAGGTTACTCCTCAGCTGGAATGGATGCTCCAAAATGATGCCATATTCTGTGATAAGTGTAAAAGATGCACCCTGCAAATAACGTCATGTCCAGTGATGGGTCTAGAACAGTTAAAGTCCCTACTTCCTAATTGCTATGAAAAGTTATGCTGGAGAGGGGCTATTGATCAGACAAAGAGAAACAATTTGTAAAACGTTTTGAGATTCATGGGATTCATAAGCTTAGTGAACAGTCGAATCAGGCGAGTCATGAGATTCAAGGTCAAAGTCAAATTAAACTGAACCACAAAGCGGCTCCAGTCTCCTAAATTCTAATTGCACACTCCATGATATCAACACTGTTACACACTGCTTACACCTGTGCCATGTCTCACAAGTGTGTTCTAGAGCGAGTGAAAGGATTTGTTGAAGGTTGAATCAGGGGAGGTTCAAGATCGAATTGTCAGACTAAACATAACGATAAAGTGGGGGGGACTCTGGGGTTCCTAAATGCAACTCGCACATTGCGTCATGTGGTAGTTTCACTGCATGATATCAACACTGCTTACACCTGTCTCACAAGTATGTTCTATAAGAGAGGGAGGATGATAATTGTTGTCTAGGTTTATTTTCAGATAGTGGCTGATGATACGTTCACTAAGTTTTTGCGATGACGGTAAAAACCTCGAATATTTGATTGAAGAAAACATAAAAAGTCAGCAAAAACAGAGAGTTGACTCCTCAGCTGGAATAGATGCTCCAAAATGATGCCATATTCTGTGATAAGTGTAAAAGATGCACCCTGCAAATAACTTCCCGTCTATGGATGGGTCTAGAACAGTTAAAGCCCCTACTTTCTAATTGCTATGAAAAGTTATGCTGATAACTGGTATGGAGCCTGGAGATTGGAGTATATCATTAGATGAGGACAATGCAACGTGGGTTCGGTCGATTATTAGTCTATTTTCGTGGAATTAGCATTTTATTGTAATTGGTATCGACTATCGAGTCGTTGGTGTTAATTATTATGATAATCTAACGACTCCAAAGGCTCTCCCCTTGACGAGAGCATGAATAATTTAACTACAAAACTATATGTTGTTGGTTAGTGGTTACAGGCTATTACTAATCAGCGTGTCTATCCCAACGTTACAAATTTATAACCCAATTTTTCACGTGCGTCGTGCGGCCACATACGGAAATGACTAATGAGCATATATTAACTAAAAATAGGGGTATCATTAGTTTATCTAACGGTATAATCATACCCATACACTAATGACTTAATGAGCCCCTGCTATCTCTATTAATCCTTGTTAATATGACCACTTGAATATAAAATATTAGTAGGTTAGAATATTATCCCAGCACGTTCGACTTAATGGCAGATAAAAAACTTTTAAAAATTTATAATTCTGTTGGTTGCTGGCCAAGTTGCAGTGGGAAGACAAACTTTATGCTACATAATGGGAAAAGAAATGAAGGGAAGGAGCCCATAGTATTCTGTGATACGTAGTCAGTTTTGAAAATTCAAGTAATATCAAGAAATAGAACCGAAATTTGGTCTCCAACCAAAAGTACTGAAAATTAAAGTTATTTCTTATTTGATCTTTTGCCGTTTGCAAAATGATGGTGGGGAAAACAGAGTCAAAGTTGAGAAACGGGAGATGGGAGCTGCATAGCTTTTAAGCTTTTGGGGACACGTTCATTTTAAGTTGAGTATATTGGTACAAATAATAAATTGCGTTTTTGAATCAAAGAACAGCTCCTACATTGGCCAATATAGGAACAAGGAACAAAACTACATTGAATGAAGTCCTCAGCTAATAAATAAAAAGACAGATTTATAATTTTCCTGAACAGATGGTAATTTTCGGGAAATTACAAATACAACTGAAAACGAAGTGCTTTAGAATAACTGAGCTAACTAGTTCTCGGTATTCATCGACCAGTTGTTCTAACTAGAAGTATACCATCATTGTAATGGCGAGGGGCTACTCAGAGCTACTGCTAGCAAAACCTTTTGTTCTGAGATTCATGCGATCCATGAGCTTAGTTGAAGGTTCAATCAGGGGAGATTAAAGATGGCCATAGGTAAAGATCCAAGAAGACTTCTAGTCCCTCCTTCCTAATTGTTATAGACATCTATACTGGTTAAACTGGAGTATATCATTAGATGTGGACAATGGAACGATCATGAGTTTGTCTGATTAGGGGTCTACTTCGCTGAGTTAGGAAGTTACGATGACTGGTAACGTCTCCAAAGACTCCGCCCTTGATGAGAGCATGAATAATTTAACTACAAAACTGTATGTTGTTAGTTACAGGCTAGTATTAATCTCAACGATACAATTTATGCAAATTTATAACTTAGTTTGCACGTGCAGTCACATACGAAGGGAAGGAGCTCATCATACTCTGTGATAGTCAGTTTTACTGATTCAGGCAATATCGATCACAACGGAGGATTATTAGCCGATTACAATATAATTAGCATACAACAAAAAAAACAAAATAGATCATTATGCCGCACCAATTGTCTTTGCACGAGCACTCACCATTTTTACAGATCCAAAAGAACTCATTACTGCCAAAGATACCGCCATATAAGATCATAATGCTGCCCTGATAATTTTTGCACGTGCACACAGTGCACTTGCACTAATTATCATCCAGTTTGCACCTACGGCCACTCACAGACATATCTCAAATATAACGGAGTCTGCAGAGTACATAATTATACAATTGGACTTGGAACTAATAAAATGTAAGCACAGCCACATCAGTAAGGTATATGTACTGAGGTTAAGTGGGGTAAATGGGTAGACATTTATTATATTTTGAAACTTTTGTTATCTTGATAGTCTCGGCTGCTGTAAGAATAATAGATATCAAACATTTTCCCGAATTGTTTAATTAAGGATAGGCGGACGAAGCTAAACGGGTTATTTTAGCTGAATTATATTTTAGCTACATGGTCCGTGACTGCGTGTGCGTGTTTGTGTCTGTCTGTCTGTAATTTACGAGGTTTAATCAAAAAACGGTAACAGATATGGGACTGGTTTTTTCGGTATAGTGCCGACAAATCTCTGACGAAGCCAAATTTAACGGGTGATACTCGTAAAATATCTGTTCCATATATTGGACCGTCGAAGAGTCCAACTCGGCGAGCGTCCTGGTAGGTTGTAAACCTACAAAGCCAAATGATTAAGATTTTTCAAATCTGTTGGTGGTAAG